TATTTAAGAGAATTTACTCTAGACAAAAATGTTGAAACACCACTTGATTGAAGAGGAAAAACCAAACAATAATCATTAATGCACTAACAAGAGCACCAATTTTTACTCAACAAGTTAAATAGTTAGAGGCAATATTGATGTGCTTTTTACCAACAATCGACCATGGAATAGGCCCTATCAAATTAAATGCCACCAACTCAAATGGTCAGGAAATTACAATTGCCTTTAGTTGTCCTTCTGCAATACGAAAGGGAGTATTACAGGCTTAACATCAAACACAACTACGCATATATTGGATAATATTACATTGCATCTCTGTCTAGTAAAAAGACCTATATAACTTCTCGATCATATATCAATGTCCCATATGCTCGCCTAAATTATGAGAGTTATAAGAAGCATGGAAAAAGCATGGAATAAATATTGAGGGTGCCACTAGCTGTACATGATCATCATGATCATTCGCAACAAAATAAAAAAGGTTGTTCTTAAGGTGATATTGAGAATATAAATGCCAAAATGGTAAGCCATTAGTAAATGTTGTAATATTCTCAAACCTCTCACAAATCCTTCGGATGCATAGTTTAAACTTTTAAACCTTATGAACCAGAACGTAAATCTTTGTGGACATTAATTATTAAGTACAAAAATTGCTAATGGTATAAAATCCTTATTCAGAAAATTCACAGATGTTAGAATAATTAATTCATCAAAAATATAAGAAGAGAGGGAAGAAAGAAAAGGAGTTCAAGAACTCCCTAAGTGATTAAAACCTCAAAATCATATATTTAAAGCTTTAGAATCCACTAAGCAATATAACTCTTTCACTTCAATAATAAAGTAATTACAATATGATTATCTTTTAGCAATGTTTAAAACTTATATAAATATGCATAAAGCTTCTCAAAACCCTAAATTGCTATTATACACTTGTAAACTCCTGAGTTTAAACTTCCCAGGAGGTCACCCAACCCAGTACTATTCAAACCCAAGGACACTTAACCCTAAATATCCCAAGAAAAAAGGGGTTTCATAGGCCCTTTCCTTTTATATTTGAACCCTAACGGATCGTCTCTCGAGTCGTTGCCTTTGGTTGCTTATAAGTTATGGAGTAGTTCACCTTTATTGATTATAATGTATAATTGATGTGCACAATGGGATGACACTGATTAAGCACACTCATACTTTCTTGCATTAAAACACCCTTAAGACCAATGTTTGTAGTTTTCATACCAAATGAAAGATGATATTGACGACTTTAGCAATGTTTAAAAAATGATATAATCTAATTAAAAAACTAATCAATAAAATGACTAAGATATTGCACCTTACCTAATAAGTGTTACACATTATTCACACTTTAGAGTAAGGGACTGTTGAACGGCCACAAGTTTATCAAGATCAACTTGCAAACCTTCATGATAAATATGATACCTAAGATATATTATGTCCTTAGACTTAAACATGCATTTTGACCACTTCAGTTTTAAACAAACTTCTCACAACTAATTCAACACTTTTTAAACATCATGAATGTACTCTGCCCATGTCCCCTCCAAGTGGATTAAGATATTATCAATGAAGTTAGCAATCACCTCTGGCATATCATAAAAAACTTTGTTCATCATCTATTAGAAAGTTGCTAAAACATTATTTAAACCAAATGGCATTACCAAGAATTTGTACAAACTAAATGGTGTATGAAAAGTATTATTGAACATTGTTCTCGGCCATCGGAATTTGCCAATACCTAGAAGTAAAATCTAACTTAGTGAACCAACAACTTCTCCCTAAACGATCCAAAAGATTAGCAGTGTGAAGAAGAAGATACATATATAAGATAGTAACTTCGTTTAATAGTTGATAGTCAATACAAAAGTGAATATTTCTATCAAGTTTTATGACAAAATAAGGTTTACACAGTTAAGAATTTTGTGACTTTCAAACAATACTGTTCTTTAATATCTCTTTGGTGTTTGTATGTAAAACTTTGATCTCCTTTAGCAACCAATAACAAATAAAAATTTTGATTAAACGAGCATCCCCAGTTAGAATAGAATGATATGTTGCAATTTTGGCCCCTACAACATGTTAAATTTAAATAATAATATACTCCTTCATGAGCTGGTCAATTGCTACAAAACATAAAAACTATTAGATAGATCTAAAGAGGGAATAAAAGAGCAAGATAGAAACATAGGAGAAAGTAATGAGGAAACAAAAATAATAGAAGCAAAGATAAAAATATAAAAATGAAAAGGAACAAAAGTGAAAGGAATGAAAGAAATATAAGAAAGTATGAGACAAGGGGAGAAACTTCAAAATCACATTTGGCTCTAAATCACATTATTAACATACTTCTTTATGAACCAATTAACTATTGCAACACAAAAACCATCAAATGGATCTGAAGAAGGAATAGAAGAGCAAGATAAAAATATATAAAGAAGTAATAGGGAAACAAAAGTGATGGAAGCAAAAGTAAAAATATAGAAATGAAGAAAAACAAAAGTGAAAGGAATGAAAGAAATATAAAAAAATATAAGACAAGAGGGAAAAACTTTAAAGTCATATTTGGTATAATTGTGTTCTAACCAATCCATACCAAAATTAAGGTTAAACGTTTGACTCAACACCACCTGTAGTGACTAAAACTCAAATTTGAGATCACCCACACTCATAACTAGTTAAAATCTTGTACAACTTATATATGTATTTGCTCCAACCACCCTTGATGATACTTTTCGAGTAACACAACATTATAAAACATTACCTCTTCCATTTTTCAATACATATCTTTTAGCTCCACTTCCTATAAAAGATAGTTTTATTCCGATGGAAGTTAATGCTATTGTTGCTTATGTTCAAGGATAGGGGTAAGGACATAGTTGTGGCCATAATATCCATTGCTAAGTGTATAATAAGGTTGGCTATACATATCAATGTTGTCCGAATTTTCCAGATTAATATCCTCCATTTCCTAGATGAAGGTTTTGGCATCAATAACATTTTATTGGTTGTGGTGGAAGGTCTAGATATTAAAATCCTTTTAGGTAACATTAAGTCATAAAGTTTTTGCACTAATAAATCACCATCCTTCTTTTGGGAGTATTATTAAAGGGTTCACTTAGCACTCATTGTTTACATTCCAAATTTGTTTTTATAATAAGAGGTTTTTTATTATTCTCTTCATGCTGGTTGATACAAGTTTAAGTTTATCTTTTATTGCTTGGTCTGTTGCCACATGTTATCATCTATATTTATATTATGCAATATAGACAATTTTCATTCTTTATGGCAATGGTTGTACATATGTATATGCACAAAATGAGGTAAACTAAAGTGTTGGTTATAACATTCTTAATGTGATTTATTTTAGCTTCACATTAAATAGGAGGCTTCGGAAGCAAACACCAAATCACATCACTGACTCAAATGACCTTGATGAAGATAATGTAATTGTTGAAAGACATCATCACAATCATTAACATGTTTAAATTTGCACTTGAAGACATTCAAGAGAATACTCTAATCTACATGAATGACTACATTTAAATCATTATACCATTGCAACACTATCCCTTAAAGGCATATGGGAAACTCACAGAAATACCAAATATTATCCCAAGAATGATATATAACAATCACTGTAAAGTGATTAAACCAATGGTATACATCATCCCCAAGATTCCCATGGAAGAACTCCAACTGAATGGTAACAAGAGTAGAAGTTGTAATTACGAATGCCACTATCAACTAAGTTTAATTATTCAACTATAACTATATAGCATTAAGTAACTGCACCAAAATCAAAGAAGGAGGAGGCTATTTTTTTGCCATAAAAATAAATGAAAAGGAGAAAAAACAAAATAGAAAAATTTGAAAAAGTTATAAAGTCTAGATAATGTAAAAGTTAAATTTAGACCAAAATCCCAAATCCAAACACTCCTTAGGATAATCAAAATTGTTCCTCATTTCCATAAAAGTGAATGCATACAATATAGAAAGGGAATATATCAATTAGGACATAAATCCTAGTTAATATATAAGAGTGAGTGTATCAAAATCCCATTATGCTAATCTTAGTGTATAGCTGTTAATATTAGTATATGGCATTGTAGCTGTACACTTTGACTTCACAAATAGAAATTTATTAAAATTAAAATATTTTTATATGTTTATGGAAAATATATTTTTGTTGATAAGAATATAAAAATCAAAACTCTTGATGCTTTTAAATGTATTATTATTTTGTGCAGCATCACGAAGTTTCTACAGAGCCATCTTGACTTGAGTATCAAACTTTCCATCAAGGCAGCACCTTGCCATAAACACTGACCAATGTAGCAGAAAAGGGATCACCAAGCTGACATAGAAATGAAGTTGGGTGTGTACTCTCTGCCTTGCTCCAGAGCTGAGCCCATGCAAATCCGGAGGAAAGGCTCCCCAGAGCAGAAAGTTGGCTTTGTCCACCATGGTTTTTTCTTCATGTCTTTCTGGAGAGGAGGGGTCTCGATTGGGCCACAGTCGTAGTTTTCTGTGTCTACGAAAAATTTCAAAAGTGGCAGTCGTTGTTTGTCATACTATCTTTCGAATCCAGGTTTCAGCAGGGCTACATACGCTGCTCAAGCATTGCCTGACTTGACACTTTCTACTGCTCTAAAGCTCCTTTCCTTGAATGAATCAGCATCTGGGCTTCTGCAGGAAGCTCCTAACAGACTCCTCCATCCCTCCGAGTTTGGCTCATATGACATCGTTCAATGAGCTCCTGCGCCATGCCAAAGTAGCCACCCCAGATCAACCATGCAACTTGTAGTGTTGTATTCCCGGGTGAATATTGTAGTCCTGAATCATCGACTGGAAGTAACACCGTCCAGAGTAAACATCTCCTTTGTGGCTAGCCGCATGAGATTATCGCCCACGTAAAAGAAAACTCGTCCCGAAGAACAGTCATTGCCATCGAGCAAAGTTCAAACGGTCAATGGTAAACGAAAGTCAAATCTCATCAAAGTTGGCCTTTTTATTTAGCGAGACCTTCTAATGCTCGACCACGATCTCTTCAACTCTTTCCTACATCTCCTAAAGATGCTATCGTATAACACATCGAAGTGAATCCCAGCTCTATCTCTATTGACGATAAAATAGATGTGATCGGCTTCGAGGATGGTAAAATACCTGTATTAAGAGAAGTTTATGAGCACGGGAAATAGAAGCAAAGAATGAAGATCACAGTACCAAACTCCAGGTTGCAAAGCTTGGCCATCTTTAAAATCCGGTGCCAAAGGACAGTTCTTGTGAGAGTATGGAAACCGGGGATAAAGCATGGATATGGTGTTCAATGCGCCGTCATTGTCTTGCCAATCTTCGTCCCTGCTCGAAACCGTGAGAAACTTGGCACAAACAAGCAAGCACTTTGCTTTACCTGTAGCCTTCGTATGGGATATCCGGCAATGGATGCTTCCAACAGCTTATTTGCAGCGATCTTATCATCAGCAGCGGATGGATGTCAAGGAGCCTCGAAGGCACGATCCGTCCAAGGAGTTTTGTGGTCCTTTTCGTCGCATAGCTGATATAAGATTAGCAGGAAATGATTTAGTTCAGTTTTAGCAAGATCGAAGGAGCTGGATTTGCTTACCTGAAGTAGAATGTGTTCCTGTGAGTTCCCAAGTTGCTGTTGATCCCTACAGCGGACTGGATGCTTAGATCTGGAAGGATCCAGTCTCCGGTTGCAAATGGACCCGAATGACCAGCCAAGCACTTCACCAGGCCTCTGAGTCCAATCTTGTGCCACGGGAGTGTAAAGTGCTCGAAGCCAAAACCATAGTACTTTTTGAAGACAGGAATATCCAGCCACTCGTAGACAAGCACGGCTATCTTGAGAAGCTGTAGAAGAGACACCGTTTTCATTGTTTTCCCATCGAGGCTGCAAGAAGAAAATGTCAGATAAGCTGCATCAAAACTGTTGTCTGATTGTTGGCTTACTTGAGACCATCGATGTAGACTCTGGTGGTGCCATTTAAAGCTCCAGATAGCGAAGTCAGGCTCAAGACCCAATCAGCAGTAGACTCGTTGTAACCTTCAAAGTGCTGCAAAGTAATCCAGAGGAACGAAACAAAAAAATCAAAACACAAAACAACAAAAGACTAATGAATCACACCTTATCTGCAAGCATTTGTTGAAGAACACGAATAACCTGCGCACCAGTGGAGTGTCCCACGAAATGAATGGGGTGGCTTTCATCCCATTCAGGATAGTGACCTGTGAAATCAGAAGAAAAAAACTTTAGAGAAAGGATTTTCAAGTTGGCATTGCTGACCTTGGCCATAATTCTTGCCAAACTGCGAGTGTCCGTAGTGTTGGCTGTGCTCAAAGCCGTAGTCGACAATCCCACCTTTGAGATAATAAAAGAGCTCACGAGCCCTGCGTGAAGAAAAAAAAGAGAGATCAAGTTCACGAAGAACAGATCTTTTTTCACGAAGAACTTATGCGCAACCTTACCTGTCATGGATGCTTGTCAGCGAACCAAGGTCCGGAACAAGCACTCTCTCGTCCTTCTCTTCCGCTCCAGCCCAGTAAGAAATGTTCCCAAGTTTCTAAAGAACAAACAAAGAAGCTTGAGCTTGTCCTCCTCTGTTGACGATGAGCGAGGAGGAGACGAGGACGAGGATGAAGAAGGAAGAATGGAGAAAGAAAAGAAACTTACCCCTTTGCCAAATCCAAAGATCCCATGGACAAGAACAATGGGGGCCTTCTCGTGGCCGTCGAGAAATGTCCCGTGGTGCGTCGTGGCGCTGCTCTCCTGCGGCGATCTCACCTCCTTGTTAGCCAAGAACATGTGAGTCTCTTCCTCCGATTCGTCCTCGGGCTGCAACGCCACAACCCTGGAAGCCCTGATTCGCCGCCGGAAGCTACTGCAGCATAGCTGGATCGCGTCACCTAGCAGCACCGTGCTCACGATCGTCATCGCGTACGTGAAATGTACCGCCACGCTCAGCCCCAGCTCGGCGAAGAGCCACCAGTAGTGGAAGAGACCGCGCATTATCAGCCAGCGGCGGCACGGCGATGATCGGCCGCAAGCCATGACTAGAGAAATCGAGAATCCGGATGGCTGGATCGAGCGCGATCTAAGAGAGACGAGGGAGAGTGAATTTGCCCTAGCTAGTAGCGCGCATCCAATTCAGCCATCATTCAAGGGATTAGACACACCACGGCCTCGTTTTCGCGCGGTTTTTGTTGTGAGCTGGATTTTAAATTTTAACTGAGAATGGAATCGCGCGTTTTGACTTGGCAAAGGGATTAATGTTTTTATCTCTTTCATCGAGGACCATGGGTTGACCACGCACGACCGCTTTGACAAAGTCAAGAGAAGGCTGACCATCGACTAGCAGCCTTTTACAACGACCTGGAGGTAAGAACTAGTATTGGAAGATCATACTTTTCCTGGACCTTGATCGACACAAAGGAAAGTATGATCTTCCAATGCAAGTATGATCAAGATCTTGTGAAGCAAAGGTACGTACCTTCGATTCGCTGAAGTTTGAATCACATTCGTGTGCACAAGTTGGCGAGCAGCACGTACGCAGCATCGTTCCCCGGATTCACATCCAGCGCCTCCTTGCTCGCACAGGACCCGCGTCTCAGATCTCTGTGACTCCCGCAAGCGCCCAACAAGCACGTCCAGTCGAGAGCGTCCGGCACGAACGGCATGCTGCTCACCAGCTCCTGTGCGTCTGCCAAGTGACCGGCGCGCCCGAGGAGGTCGACGATGCCGCAGTAGTGCTCTCTTGTCGGCCGCAGTTCAAAGTCGCGGCTGATCGACGCAAAGCAGCTCCAGCCAGCCTCCACTCCGCCCGTGTGGCTGAAAGCCAGCAGCACGCTGATGAGACAAACTCCGTCCGGGACGATGGTCGTGTTCATCCGGTGGAAGAGCTCGATCACCTCCTCGTGACGACCATCTCGAGCAAATGCCGCTAGCAGAGCCGTCCACGAGACGAGATCCCTGGAAAACATCTGCTCGAACGTCTGCTTTGCCGCTCGCAGCTGCCCGTCTCGAGTATACGCCGAGAGCATCGTGTTCCAGGAAACTTGGTCACGCTCCGGCATTCGATCGAAGAGAAGCTTCGTATCGACGAGGTGCTGGCCGTCGTGGTTGTACGCAGCTAGCATGGCGTTGAGAGACACCTGGTTTTTCTCCTCCATGCCGTCGAAGATGTGCTTGGCTTCTTCCAGCCGACCGCTCTTTGCGTAGGCTGAGAGCATCGCAGTCCATGAAACAAGGTCCAGCTCCGGCATTTGGTCGAAGACTAGCTTGGCCTCTTGCAGTTTTCCACTGTTTGTCAAAAGTCCCAGCATCGCCGTGCAAGTGAGGAGGTTCTTCTCGTCCATTGTCTCGAAGACTCGCTTGGCTCTGCTCGCTTGGCCAGACTGCGCAAGAGCTACGAGCATGGCTGTCCAGGAGACGAGGTTCCTCTCGGGCATCTTGTCAAACACCTGCTTAGCCTTTTCCACCTGACCATTTTGAGCATACGCCGCTAACATCGCAGTCCATGAAACCAGGTTCCTCTCCTCCATCTCGTCAAACACTGACTTGGCTTTGTCCAGCTTCCCGTGCCGAGCGTAAACCGAAAGCATCGCACTCCACGAGATGAGATCTCTCTCTGGCATCTCGTCGAACAACGCCTCTGCTAGTTGCAAGTGACCATTCTCCGCAAACGCGGTGAGCATAGCCGTCCAGCAAACCAGGTCCCTTTCTGGCATCCAGTCGAACAGCGTCTTTGCTTCCTCGAGGTGGCTTCGATCTGTGTAGGCGACCAGCATTCCTGTCCAGGCCACGAGATTTCTTCCCGGCATCTTGTCGAACAGTGACTTGGCCTCCTGGAGATGCCCGTTCCGGGCATACACCGAGAGTAGCAAAGCCCAAGTGAAGAGGTTCTTCTGCCGCATGGAATCGAAAACTTCCTGTGCATCGACCATGCTGCCGCATCTTCCATACATCTCGATCACGATGTTGGAGACGAACAAGTCGCCAGCCTCGAGGAGACGCAAAACTTGAAGATGGGCCTCCCTGGCGGCGTGGATCGTCCGCGTGGATCTTATCAGATGAATGCAGCCAGCCCTGTCAACCATCTTCTCCTCCACGCGGCTGCAAAACGTTCGCCATCAGCGAGTAATCTGACCCTTGTACCTCATCGCCCCGTTGAAGTAGCGACTGGAATGTGCTCCTTGCTACCGCCAAGTCCGCCACCTTTGAGCAAGCACTGAGAATGATCCGCCAAGTCAGTCCGTTTGGCTCGTAAGGCATGGAAAGCGCCACCTCTATAGCTCGGTTCACCTGGTTGCCACGTCCGAGCAAGTCGATCAGGCAGTGGTAGTGCTCGAGGCGAGGCTCGACTTTAAACTTGGAGCCCATGCTCCGGAAGATCTCGCTGCCTGCATCCACAAGCCCAGCGTGACTACATGCGTTTAAAGCCAAGAGTAGAGTTACCGAGTCGGGATTCACGGATTGCTGCTGCATTCGGCCGAAGGCATCCAACAGACTGTCTGTCTGTCCGGCGCGGCTGTAGCCAACCATCAACGCGTTCCAAGTTACCGTCTCGTTCGTGGGAAACGAGTCAAAAACGTAAGTAGCATCGAGCGTTCTCGCGCATCTGCCATAAAAATCCACCAGAGAATTCGTCAAGGCTGTGGAACTTTCAAATCCATACCTCAGAATGTCGCCATGGATCGACTTCCCAGTCGCCAGCTCCGTCAGGGATCCGCAGGCTTTGAGTGCCACCGCCAAAGTCGAAGCATTTGTGGTGATACTTCGAGATCGCAAATCAGCGAAGTACTCCAGTGCTATTTCACTCTCCCCGTTGTCAATGTACGCAAGGATCAATGCGTTCCAGGATACCACGTCGTGACGAACTAGTTCGATACCGTCGAAGGCTCTTTTGGCGTCCACCATACTACCGAGGCTTGAGTACATGTCCACCAGCGTACTCACAATCAGCCAGTTGGAGCCATAACCATCCTTCCGAGCATAGCTGTGCACAGCCATTCCTTTCTCCAGCACTTGAGCTCGATCTTCTGGTTTCAACACTTTCACAGCTAGACCACTGCACGCCTTCAACGCCACGACGAAGCTAAGAGCATCAACAGGACAGTCCTGGAGGTCAAAAGCCTGTAGAGCCTGTTGCTCGTCCCCGTTTTCCACATATCCAAGTATCAAGGCGGTCCAGGAACGAACATCACGATGCTTCATGCCGTCAAACACCCTCTGAGAATCCACCATACTTCCACACTTTGCGTAGAAGTCCACCAAAGTGTTCCCAACGAAACTGTTGAAGTTGCCAGCCTTTTCAGCTATAGAGTGAAAAAGCATTCCTTTCTCAAGAGCTTCCACCTTGACCATCTTCTCGTTGCCAAGCTCTTTAAGCTTTTCCTTCGATGCCAAAATGCCACAAGCCTTTAGTGCAGCGACCAAGGTTCTACTGTCGGATCGAATTTGAAACCGCATCATATCTGTGAACAAGCTTAGAGCCAGCTCGGCTTCCTGGTTCTCCACGTATCCCAGAATCAACGAATTCCAGGAAACGAGATCACGAAATGGCATCTTGTAGAACACCCTGCTCGAATCCACCATGCTCCCACACTTGGCATACATGTCCACCAGGATGTTCGAGAGAACTAGATTCGGCTCGAAACCATTCTTCTCCGCGTCGCTGTGAATGGCCATGCCTTTGCTCAGAGCATCCAACTTGTTTCCTTTCGCACCAATACCAGCGCAAGCACGTAGAGCAGCGGCAAAAGCTAGAGCATCCGGTCGACCAACACGTCGCAAGAGCTGGAACATCTCGAGTGCTTCCTTCTCTTCTCCATTGTAGACATATCCAGCCAGCAAAGAGTTCCAAGCCACCGCTGTTGGATGAGCCATCGCGTCAAACACCCGTCTGGAATCCGCCATGCTTCCACACTTTGCGTAGAGGTCGACAAGAGAACTGCCAACAAAGTCGTTCCTGTGAGCTCCAATCGAGGCCGCATAGCCGTGGACGAGCTTCGCCTTTTCCAGCGATTTTAGCTTAGTTCCAGCGTTCCAATCCTCCTTTCTTGCCAGATTGACGCAAGCTCTTAGACCAGCTACGAACGATCGCGAATCTGGAGCACAGCCATACTCTTCCATCCGAAAGAGCATCTCCAGCGCAGTCTCTTCCTGCCCATTCTCCGCGTATCCCAGAATCAAACAGTTCCACGACACGAGATCCGGCCACTGTAACGCATCAAACACCCTCCTCGCGTTCTCCGGGCTCCCACATTTCCCATACATGCTGACAATGGAATTCGCCACCAGAATCCCCTGCTCGATCCCAGCCCGGATCACGATCGCGTGGACTCTCTCCGCGCTCTGCAAATCCCTGGCGCTGCCGCAAGCGCCGAGCAAGGCAAAAATGCCCGATCCAAGGCGCTGCTGGACGGCGATGCTCGCCGCGACCTCTGTCATGCATCGCCGCTAGCTGGAAAGAACCTACTCACAGGAATCGACGAGCGCCAGAGCCAAGAACCCTAGAGAACGAGCTAAGAACCCTAGAACACATACATTCCCGCCATTATAAATAGCCAAAAGCTCGAATTTTATTCGTGTATCGGCACCATCGTTTAGAAAACTTGTCCAGGCCACTGCGCGGCCTCGTTGCTAGCTATTCATACAAACACAAAGGAATTTTCCTTACCCCCGGCTGGCTATGTACGAGACCACCACCGTGATGTCGTCCATTTTGCCACCATGGAAGCGATATCCAGCGTCTTGGGCCGCCGCCGCGAATGGAGTCTGGCGATTCCTGTCCAGAGCGCTCGACCTGGCAAGAGTCGCCAGTTTCTCCGCTGTAAGCTGCGGCCCAAATCCCGATCGAGTCGAATGAACGACGACGCTGGCTACTTCTGTATCATACACGTTGTCGAACAGGCCGTCCGTTCCCACGACTATAACATCTCCGGCAGCAACTTGCACCGAGAACACCTGCGTAGAAACCGGAAGAACTTAAAGAGTTTTCTAGCGAGAGATGTCTGGCGAACCTGTGCGCAAGTCGGTGGATCGCTGCCGCCGTGCTCGAGTTGATACGGGATGTTGAAGAGGTGTTGTTGAACTGGCGACTTAAACACTGTTTTCCCGTTTCTCAGCACGATGAAGCCACTGTCACCAAGGTTTGCTGCTTGAAGTCCCTGCAAAACAGGAACACTATCAGTAAAGAAGATAAAAAACGAGAAGGAAAGTTCTCACATTGTCCGAGAGAGCTAGAATGCATGCTGTGGATGACCCCTTACACTTCGTCTTCGAGTGAGCTCTAACGAGAATCCTGACAGGGTCGACCAGCCCGTGAGGCTCTTGCTGCGCGGCTATGATGGACTGCACCATAAGTTCCCTCGCGTACTGGCCAGCGTCCACTCCAACGTCGGCCCAGCCGCCAACACCGTCGGCAACACCCACGACTTTTTCGTTGTCGCAGATGAAATGCGCATCTTCGCCACCCTTGGCTTGTTTGTCTGGATGAGGAAGATAGCACGCACCCGAGACCAGCGTCAGTGGTCTACTTTGTCCAGCAGTCCTGCATCAAACCGGATCAAACACAAAGAAACAAAGAAAGAAGCGACAGGAGAAAGAATCTTTGTTACCCCTCCGAGCAGCCTGAAACATTCCCCTCAGTGTCGGAGTCCAAAACTATCCCTGGCGAGAGAAGATCAGCCTCCTTGGAGCTGGAGTTGTGCTGAGACAATCTCCGCGAGCTTGCGGCGTCCTTGTCGAAAGCTCCCTGGCCAAGCCGGAAGCAATGATACGCAGCAGTGTCATGGAGAAGGCCACGACCCCCTGTCCCTCTCGAGGAGGAGAAAGTATTCTCGATCCACTTGGACCAGGAATCTCTCCCTTCCTTGCCACCTCCACCACCGTCCAGTTGGAACTCACACACTGCCCCGCCCCCTCTCGCCACGCACGACGAACTACCCCCGGAGTTCTTCCCCGAGAAAGAGACCGGCAACCTTCCATCGACCAAAAGTTGCCACGACTGGTAGCTACAGCTCTGCCAAGCCGGACCAAACACCGAGGGAGTGGCGAATGCCCGAGAGAATGCCTCGGACACCGAAAGCGGAGCGCCCTCTTCGAAATTGGAAGAATCGGCGCTGGAAGAACTCGAGGAAGACGAAGACGATGGTGGCACTCTTCGCGTACCCCGAGCAGCGCCACCAATGGCGGTCTTGGCCGAAGAATAGACGGGATAGGCTGCGGCGGCCTTGGCCCTTCCAAACAAAACGTTGAGCCGATGCTGTGATTGCCTATAGCTACTGCTAGTACCTGCTTTCAACTTCCACACGATCTGGGGGGTCGGCATCCTCAGCTCGCAAGAGGGCGAGCACTGCATGATTCGGCCGCCCGCCTGCGAATCAGCAATCCCTCACCATCGCCGCCTTCCCATGGAGCTGGAGAAGAGAAAGGAGAGAGAAAGAGAGCGAATCAGTCCCACGCACGGAAGAACCCTAGGGTTTTTCCTGTTCCAAAGTCTTTACCTGGCTGTTGGAGCTCCCGGGAGCCGGGCAGTGGAGTGACCGATCGATCGTGTGGATCGATTGCCCTAGATTGTCGCTGACCTAGGCAAGAAAGAGGGCTTAGTTTTCTTCCGTGCTCCACCCTCTCTTCTCACGAGCAAATGACATGGCTAGAAAGGTGACGCGTGTCACGGGTACATTTGTGACACGTGTCAAATAGATTCTTCACTGTATTTGGCTCGAGGCGGGAAGAGCTCTTTTGTGTTTGTCCGAGCTAGGGTCTTGCGGCGCAGCGATACGTGTTCTTGAGGGATCCCGCATTGGAGGTGCCATGGCTGAATTAGCGCTTGTAGTGACTCTCGCTCTCGCGGTAAGACCTCGCTTCTTCTCCCGGCGAGCGATCTTCCAAAGAATCAACGATTTGTGTGTTCTGTGATGAAGATCGTGTGGAGATTTCGGCTCAATATGCTCGATCTGGATGTACAGAGCAGGTCTGCCGCTGGAATCGCACAACTTGGATCGAAAAGCGCTCGTCTTTTGTGATATTTTCAGGAGGGATGAGATATTCTGGATGGAAGATACCGCGTCTACATGGAGCACGCAGGTTTTTCCCGCAGCATTCCTCTCCTCGATTGAAATTTCTTGCAGGTTTTGTGCCCGTCGATCCATGAAGCTCCCTCCAAGTATCTCTCCGTGGTGATACCTGCGTACAACGAGGAAAAGGGGCTTCCTTCTACGATAAATGAGACTCTAAGGTAACACCTCAGTACAAATTCCGAAAGAACTGCCGCGCTCGGTTTTACAGGTACCTGGACGAGCGAAGCTTTGACGATGCAAACTTTACATACGAGGTGACAATCATCGACGATGGAAGCGAAGATTTGACGTACAATGTGACACTGGATCATGCGTCGCGGTTGAGAGTGATCAAGCAAACACCAAATCTCGGAAAGGGTGCTGCGATTCGCAAGGTATGTCCCGTCCATGCCTTGCCATCCTCCATTGTGCTTTTAACCTGCGCTTTCCAGGGAGTTCTCTGCTCTCGCGGTCAGCTCGTGATCACAGCAGACGCTGATTCAGCAATCTTCATACGAGATATGGGGAAACTGGAAGAGAAAGCACTGAACCTGACTGCATCAGGAGATCCCATAGCTGTGTTTGGCTCGCGCTGCAAAGTAAAGGTAAACGAGCCTCGCTACTTTGCATTGGCATGGAGCTCGCTCCAAGACTTAACTCGTCATGATTTTGATCTCTTCAGCAACCTCTTCTTCGAAGCATCATGTCGAAGGTCTTTCACGCTCTCGCGGTCTTAATAACCGGGACCGACGTGGCCGACACCCAGTGCGGGCTCAAGCTCTTTACGAGGCCCGCAGCGGCCAGACTGTTTACGAACCTGAGGCTCCAGAGGTAGAGTTTCTTCTCTTCTCTCGGAAGTTCTCACAAGCAGTGTTCTCTCAGGTGGGCTTTCGACGTGGAGCTGATCTATCTCGCCAGACGCCTGGGAATCCCAGTGTACGAGGTGGCCGTGAACGCCGTGGACGTTACCGGATCCAAGCTTCGCGCTTCCAGCGTCTGCCACGCGCTGTACGAGATCACGATGGTGGTCATAGCCTATGGACTTGGCTTCTGGGAGATTCGGTAGGGAAGATCGGAAGATCCATTCTTTTTCCTCGGTGGAGTAAGTAAATTTTGCCGCGTTTTACTATAAACCAAATCTTTCGGTGATTGTCGTAAACTAAATAGCAAAGTGGTAAATGCTGCAGAGCAGGGAGAGAGACATTAAAAATAAATAATATGAACCACCTTGATGATCTTTAATTGCAGCTCACTAAGTGTGCCGATGTGGTAGCAGAGCAGAGGTGCTGTGATGGAGAGAGACATTAAAAATTTTGGTTCCATGGTCTTTTTATTTTTTCTGTCTGGTGATTAAAACCGAGGAAAAATCAAGCATATATATCCCGGAAGAGAACGTGAGCCCGAAAGAAAAGCAAATGCTGGAGCTACTGGGATTGCTGCTGCTGCTGCTGCTAGCGCTGCTCTCAATCCACCGCTTCTCGCGAGGTGGAGGACGCGATGGAGGATTGCCACTGATTGGCCACACGGTGGAAATTCTAGCCAATTACCACCGGATCTTCGACTTGCTCCTGGAGAAATTCCAGAGCCAGGGCACGAGCACCGTGCCGCTGTGGATTCCTGGCCAATCCTACGTCTTCACGGTGGATCCAGCCAATGTAGAGTACATTCTCAAGACAAGATTCCAGAACTTCCCAAAGGTATCTTATATGATCTCCAAATGGAGGGAGTGCGTGAATGATCGCAGGGTGAGCGCTTCCGGGAGAAATTCCAGCCGCTGCTGGGCGGCGGGATCTTCAACGCCGATGGCGCGGCGTGGAAGAGCCAGCGCAAGGCGGCCAGCTTCGAGTTCGCGTCCAGGGTTTTGCGGGAGTGGAGCGGCAGCGTGTTCCGGGATCACGCGCTGGAGCTCGCCCGGATTGTGGACGCCGCGGCGTCCAAGCAGAGCTCCCTGGAAATGCAGGCAAGAAAGATCTCTCGCTCTTACCGAGAGTCACTTCTTTCCTTCTTTGCACATAGGACCTCTTCCAGCGGATGACGCTGGACACGATTTGTAGCCTGGGATTTGGCGTGCGCCTCGGCCTCCTCTCTCCGACGCTCCCGCACAACGATTTCGCGGCCGCTTGCGACCGATGCAACGCGATCGTCTCCTTTCGCTTCGCGGATCCCTTTTGGAAGCTTAAGAGGCTGCTGCGCATCGGCGAGGAGCGCGATCTCCCAAAGAACCTGGCCACGGTCGACGAATTCACGTACAATATCATTCGCAAGAGGAGGATCCAGCTCTCCAAAGAGAACGAGGATCTTCGCGTAAGAGATTTCTCGTAAACATTGATCTTGACGTGGTGCTTTCTTCCTTCCAGGCTCGCAAGAAAGATCTTCTTTCGCGGTTCATGCTACTGGACGAGAGTTCCTCCGACGTTTATCTCCGCGACATGGTCCTCAACTTCGTGATAGCTGGGAGGGACACCACCGCCGCGACCCTCTCGTATTTCATCTACATGGTTGCCTCTCACCCCGATTGCCAGGGCAGGATCCATTCGGAGCTTCTCGACTTCGAGCGCTCCAGTCGCCAACATCCAGGCCATGACGACGATCCAAGCTCCATAGAAAGCTTTGCAAATCTCCTCAAGTTCGAGGCTCTGGCCAAGCTCCCCTATCTCCACGCCGCAGTAAACGAGACCCTCCGCCTCTACCCGACCCTGCCACTGGTACGTAAAGTTTATTGAGAATCTCTTTTTGTTTATAGCGTGGGGATCTCCAGAACTTTAAAGGCGTTGCCAGCGACGACGTTCTTCCGGATGGCACGCCCGTCCGAAGAGGCGAGATCGTGTCTTACGCGGCATACTGCATGGGCCGGATGGAATCGCTGTGGGGACCCGATGCTGCGGACTTCCGCCCCGAGAGATGGCGCACTGCCGATGGATCCAACTGGGATTTCAACCCGTCGCCCTTCAAGTTCACAGCATTCCAGGTTCTTGAAATGTTCGCTATAGCCATCTTAGATCCGAAAACCTCTCCTCTCACAGGCAGGGCCTCGCGTTTGCCTTGGCAAGGACAGCGCTTATCTCCAGATAAAGATCACCGCGGCGCTTCTCTGCCGCTTCTTCGAGTTTCGTCTCGTTCCGAACCAGACTTTCCACTATCGAGTCATGGCCACGATTTCTCTGGCTTCTGGGATTAAAGTGGTGCCACTGAAAAGGTGACGGCATCTTGCCAACTGGTAAAATTTAATGACTAGAAACAAAAGTGGGAGCCGATGTTTGTCGCCATCGTTCAACTAAAAATAACAAGGAGCTGCTTGCACAACTTTAAAGTTGACACTTTTGTGCCGATGAAGCTTAATGTGGTGATCTTGGAGTCCATAAAACTACTGGAACTTTAGTGATGGGGATGTTATATACAGGTTGCAAATCACGAGCTGAGAGTTCCTTGAAGAATCTTGGCTGCTTATGTGCTGCGAGCGATCCGGCATGGCACAGTTTCTTCTTCTTGCGCTTGCCAGATCCTACCATGCCTATGGACTTGGCTTCACCATGGTGGAATATCCTCTATTCTTTTTCCTCGGTGGATACTTTAAACCAAATAGAAAGAAAAAGGAAACTTTGCCCTTCTTCTTTACTATATAGAGTTTTGGTTACTAGGGCATACCTAAAGAAGAAGCTAACGATGTATCTTTCGGTTGTTATTCCCGCGTACAATGAAGCGTTGCGCATCGCAGAACCCCTGGATCACACCTTAAGGTATGTCTTGATTGAAACCTTAGTAGCATATATGTTTATATGCATGTTTTTCATAGATACCTAGCCCAGAGAGCCAAAAGGAATCGCCACTTCACATACGAGGTTATTGTCGTGGATGGCTGCAGCAAAGATTTAACACCTGACATTGTCTGGGAGATGACTAAACGGTACCCTTGCCTGCGGTTGATACAGCTTGATTGCAATCTGGGCAAAGGTGGAGCAGTCAAAGAGGTTTGTGAAAAACAAGCCCATGGTTTAGAATAATCTCTAATAGTTTTTTCTTCTTCCTCTTCTATTCTGCAGGGAGTTTTAGATTCACGTGGTGAATTGATATTAATGGTTGATGCGGATGGTGCGGTTGACATCACCGCTTTTGAAACTTTTGAGCCAAAGGTATATTTAATTAGTGAAAATTTTACAATAATACATATACTAATGTTGGTTCAATAACAGATTGAGAGATTTCGGAACAACAAGCCAATGGTATGGTTTGGTTCTCGCCTGCGTGAAAAGGTCTATTAGTTGAATTTGATACTTTAGAAAACCTCTATACATGTGCTTCCAGAGACAATGGTACCGGAGCATACTGTCCCAAGGCTTTCATTATCTCACAAGGATGTTCATTGGAAAGCATGATATCAAAGACACTCAGGTATTAGAATTATAGAAACTTTTTTGTGCTTTACTAATTCTGGTTTTATTTCAATAGTGTGGGTTTAAATTATTTACTAAATCAGCAGCTAAAAAATTATTCAAAGAGCTCTCAACCAGTAGGTGGTCTTTCGACGTGGAACTAATCATGCTTTGCAATGTTTATGGCATCCCAATCACTGAAGTTCCAGTTGATTTCACAGACATTCCGGGCTCCAAGATCACCACATTAAGCTTCATCCATACCATCTACGAACTGGCATGCATAGGCTTCAACTTTAAAATCAAGAGAGCTGTGTGTTCTCAATATGAGCAGCTCCTTACAATGTTTAGTTGAATCGAAGATGGCGACAAAGATCGGCCACTCCGGTCTTTACCCATTTTTGTTTCTAGTCATTATCCCGTCACCTTCTCAGTGGCACGACTTTAATGCCAGAAGCCAGAGAAATCGTAGCCATCACGCGGTAGTGGAGATTCTGGTTGGGAACGAGACGAAACTCAAAGAAGCGACAGAGAAGCGCCGCGGTGATCTTTATCTGGAGATAAGCGCTGTCTTTGCCAAGGCAAACGCGAGGCCCTGCCTGTGAGAGGAGAGGTTTTAAGATTTAAGATGGCTATAGCGAAGATTTCAAGAACCTGGAATGCTGTGAACTTGAAAGGTGACGAGTTGAAATCCCAGTCGGATCCATCGACGGCGCGCCATCTCTCCGGGCGGAAGTCCGCGGCATCGGGCCCCCACAGTGATTCCATCCGGCCCATGCAGTATGGCACGTAAGACACGATCTCACCTCTTCGGACGCGCGTGCCATCCGGAAGAACGTCGTCGCTGGCGACGCCTTTAAAGTTCTGGAGATCAAGTTAAAAAACGAGATTCTGAAGCAACTTTACGTACCAGTGGCACGGATGGATAGAGGCGCAGGGTCTCGTTTACTGCGGCGTGGAGGTAGGGGAGCTTGGCCAGCGCCTCGAGCGTGAGGAGCTTTGCAAAACTTTCCATGGAGCTTGGGTCATCGTCATGGTGTTCGTGTTGCCGGCTGGAGTGATCAAAGTCGAGAAGCTCCGAATGGAGCCTGGCCTGGCAATCGGGGTGAGAGGCAACCATGTAGATGAAATACGAGAGCGTCGCGGCGGTGGTGTCCCTCCCAGCGATGACGAAGTTGAGGACAATGTCGCGGAGATAAGCGTCGGAGGAACTCTCGTCCAGTAGCATGAATCGCGAAAGAAGATCTTTCTTGCGAGCCTGGAACAAAGAAAGCATTGCATGAAACAGAAGGGCAAAGAGAAAGTTTCTTACGCGAAGATCCTCGTTCTCTTTGGAGAGCTGGATCCTCCTCTTGCGAATGATATTGTACGTGAATTCGTCGACCGTGGCCAGGTTCTTCGGGAGATCCCCCTCCTCGCCGATTCGCAGCAGCCTCTTGAGCTTCCAGAAAGGATCCGCAAAGCGAAAGGAGACTATGGCGTTGCATCGGTCGAAAGCGGCCGCGAAATCGTTGTGCGGGAGCGTCGAGGAGAGGAGGCCGAGGTGTACGCCAAATCCCAGGTTACAAATCGTGTCGAGCGTCATTCGCAGGAAGAGATCCTGTGATCCAAAGAAAGAAATATTTCGCGATTATCTAAGAACAGAGAGCGAGAGGAGAGATCTTCCTTGCCTGCATTTCCAGGGAGGTCTTGTTGGATGCCGCGGCACGCACAATCCGGGCGAGCTCCAGCGCGTGATCCCGGAACACGCTGCCGCTCCACTCCCGCAAAACCCTGGACGCGAACTCGAAGCTGGCCGTCTTGCGCTGGCTCTTCCACGCCGCGCCATCGGCGTTGAAGATCCCGGCGCCCAGCAGAGGCTGGAATTTCTCCCGGAAGCGCTCGCCCTGCGATCATTCACACACTCCCTCCATTTGGAGATCATACAAGATACCTTTGGGAAGTTCTGGAATCTTGTCTTGAGAATGTACTCTACATTGGCTGGATCCACCGTGAAGACGTAGGACTGGCCAGGAATCCACAGTGGCACGGTGCTCGTGCCCTGGCTCTGGAATTTCTCCAGGAGCAAGTCGAAGATCCGGTGGTAATTGGCTAGAACTTCCACCGTGTGGCCAATCAGTGGCAATCCTCCATCGCGTCCTCCACCTCGCGAGAAGCGGTGGATTGAGAGCAGCGCTAGCACCAGCAGCAGCAATCCCAGTAGGATTTCCAGCTGCAACATTTCCATTTCTTTTGCCTTATCCTTGGCTCACGTTCTTTTCCAGGATATCAGTATACTGGCGAAGCCTAAATGCTGGACAGTTGATGTCAAGATTTCATTTCCCACCATTTGCAACAATCTGGAATTGGACCGGACGATTGTTCCATGAAAAGTAAAAAGAGGGGAAGGATTAACATCTCACCATTTCTAGCACCTCACCACTCTCAAGTTTCCGATGCCTATGCCCAGATTGGCATACACCCAGATTTGCCATACACAATACACCGATCGTCAGCATCGGCATCGTATAAGGGACACACTTACTTGAATCACCCGTAGACTTAGCAATAGAAGTACGTCACAGCAAAACCTCCCAGATTGAATTTTCTCTAGCCACAGTAAACCTCGCTCGGATCGTCAAGATTCTCATCACATTCATGAGACAGGTAGCAAGCATATTGCACTGCTAAGTTGCATTACTCAGGAATGCTTGAATTTGAACCTATTTGGATTTGAAACTTAGGTTCTTTCTACTGCTGCCAACTGTGAGATACAGCCCTAGAGCCAGGGCTGTGAGATCCGTGCAATCCCAGGTCGCCAAGGAACTCGTTCGCCTTCTCACTCACTGCCAAGCAGCAGCAAGTGTCCGGATCTGCGCAGCTCCAGCTGCCTGCCATGAGCGCCAAGCCAGTTGGAATCAAGAGAGCGAGCGATAATATGCCGAGGAGAGAGCCTCGGCCGTGCATGTAAGTGCCGCATTCCCCACTTCTGTCAGTCTCACAAAGCTTGAATGCTTTAGGAGCAACCTTTTGTACCAGTAAGAATCATATTCCCTTCGTTAAGGAAGAAAAGAATGCTGTCCTTCGGCCAGCACCTGGTGACTTGAGTCTGAGTTTGAGCTTATCTTTTTGAGTGAAAATGTCAAACCCAAAATTGCAATGGATAGACTTGCATGGCAGAAAACAGTTGTTGCACCTCTGCCTTCGCTCCCTGGCCACAACTCATTTGCCCACGAAAACACCCATACAACCATGTGGTCCCGAACCTAAAATAGAGCTCTTCGTTTATTATATTGATTTTATGGCAACCACAGTACTACTTCTGCTCAACCTTGCACTGGCTTAGGGCAAGTGCACGTCTCGCAGCTGCAGGTCCTGCCGCACTTGCAGAATGGCTCGCCGGATGCCGTCATCTTGGCGCAGGTACACGTCTCGCAGTTGCAATTTGCGCCGCACTCACAAAACACCCCCTCGTGACCACTGAAAAGAAAAAACACAGGAACCCAAATAGAACAAAATAAATGCAAGAATTATATGATTTCAAAAGATCAAACTTTCGAATCCAAGATACCCTTCCAAGAATAATTCAAGGGATTATCTCAACTTACCCTCGTCCGGTTGCGGAGGTTGCACCACCACTGGTCGCAGTGGCAGCACATCTGCAAGCATCGCAAACCACCATCGAGTTAGCAAAAACCGATACAGATTTGCAAAAGAAGCAAGGGAATCTTACTTGCAATCGTCCCCGCAGGGGCAGGGAGACCCGGAAGCGCAACCGGCAGTGCAGTCACAGGTGTTGACAGTGGTGGCCATCACGCAGATCAAACAAAGAAAAAGAAAAGAGAGAGGAAAAAGAGATTGCGAGAGAGATGGATCGAGTGATTCGTTTCAAACGAGCCCTCCATTTTATAAAACAACCCCATGCAAATGGAGAGCCCGCGTGGCGCGCGCAGCCACCGCCAATTGTCCGATTCCTTCTTTTTTTGGAGCTAACCCTCAAAACAAGTATATAAGCTTCTGTGCATTGTTTGGTTTCTATCTTTCGGACGCTGTGACGCAAAGGCCGTTTGCCATGGAGAGAATTGCCATCATCCGGTACTTGACTTGGTGGCCCGGGACGAGCTCGAAGCGGAAGAATCGGCAGAGCGTCGCGGCGGTCATCTTCATCTGGAGATAAGCACTGTCCTTTCCAAGGCAAATTCGAGGACCCGCCTGCATGAACAAAACGAAAACACGACGAGAATTTAGATATCCTTTCCTGTTGAAACGATCAAGAGCTGCTAGTGTGTGGAAGGAATAAGAAGAACACGGAACACGAGAGAGAGGAAGTGGCAGACCCCACGCCAAGAATATGATCACAAGGACCAAGGAGAGACCAAAGAACTTTAGCATCGAACTTTCGCTTTCTTTTTTTTTTACTCTCTCGCAGCAGCTCAGGAAAGAGAAGGAAAGTTTCCACACCACTCGCATGCTTCTCAGAGAGCACTGAAAGGAGGGAGTACCTGGAATGCGGTGAATTTGAATGGCGAGACGGGCTGGAAGACTCCGTCCTTGGAGAGCCATCTCTCGGGCTTGTACTCGCGAGCGTCTTCTCCCCAGAGCGACTCCATCCGTCCCATGCACCACGGAACAAAGTTGATCTGGTCCCCGGCTTTCACTTTCTTTCCGTCTGGAAGCGTATCGTCGGCCAGCACGCCTTTAATGTCCTGGGACACACACACACAAAGGTGGTCACAGTTAGGTGCACGCTATACAAACAGTCATACATCTACCAAAATAAGTGCCTGCCAAACTGACTAACGCAAAGGAGAGAGACGAGGAGAAAAGTTTACCTCTGGCACGGCTGGGAATAGCCGGAGTGTCTCGGTGATGGCCGCGTGAAGGTAGGCCAGCTTTGCCAAAGAGTCATACGTCAGGAGCTTGGCGAAGCTTGAAATTTGAGACCCGGCCGTAGTGTCTTCGCTGGCTTTAATTGCTGCCGTTGACATCTCATCGGTCTCTAGCTTGCAAAGCTCCGCGTAGATCTTGTCCCCGCAGTCTGGATGAGTGGCCAGCATGTAGACAAACCACGAGAGCGTAACAGCGGTGGTATCGCGGCCGGCGATTACAAAATTCAGCACAATGTCGCGCAATGTCTTGTCGTTGATCTGGTTCTTAGGATCGTCACTGAGCAGCATAAATCGAGATAGAATGTCTGCCTTCTTCTGCAAAACAGCAGAGAGCGCGTCAGCAACAAGTCACGAAACCGAGTTTCTCTTCATTCCTCAAATTCCTCGAAGAAGAAAAATTCGTCTTACTTCGTCTGCGCACTTTCCCTGTAGCTCAGCGCGCCTTGTCTTTATCACGTTGTATGTGAAGTCGTCTACAATCTTGGCATTCTTTGCGAGCTGAGCCTCGCGGCCGAGTTTAAGAAGGCTGCCGACCTTCCAGAAGGGATCGACGAACCTGTTGGTGACCCAAGCGTTGGCGTTGTCGAACGCTATCGCAAATTTGTTCTCCGGCAGGGAAGCGGACAGCGTTCCAATCTCCACTCCAAATCCTAGCTTGCAAATCGAATCCAGTGTCATCCGCATGAACAAGTCCTGCGCACGTGTATCGCTTGAATCAGCACAAAGAAGATTAGAGCGAGACGAAGTCACCTGCATATCGAAGCTTTGTCCTCTGCTCGTGCACCCCGATACGATATCCGCCAGTTTGACGGCGTAGTCTCTAAACACCACCGTGCTGAAGTCCCTCAGAATTTTGGAGGCGAACTCAAAGCTTGCGGTCTTCCTCTGCCGTTTCCACACCTCGCCATCCGAGTTGAATATCCCGTCTCCGAGAAGAACTTCCATGATATCGTGAAATTTGTCACCCTGCAAAGAAAATTCTGAGAGCTCGGAAAAGAAACCGCGGCGCATCCATTACCTTTGGATAGTTCGCGAAGTTGTTCTTGAGAATGTGCTCCACCACGTCGGGGTCGACTGTGTAGTAGTAGTCGAAGGTCGGCATTGGCGCTCTGAATGTCTTGGAATTGTAGAGCTTCTCGTTGCGCAAAAACTTTTCGAGTAGGAAATCGTGCATGTGATCATAGTGCTTAGCCAGTTGCAACGAAGAACCGAAGATAGGAAAAATCGTGAGGAAGGAAGGATAATTTCTTCGTTGTCGTGCGTAGATTGCCAAAAACCAGCCCAGCGTCGCTACTAGAAACACGGCCGTAAGTCCCCAGCTCGAGCTAAAGCTTGAATTCATGTCGCTGCTTGCTGTGGACGACATAGCGGTGCTGAGCCGCGCCCCAAACCAGACCTTTCCCGCTGAAGAAGAGCAGAGGAGCACGCCAAGTTGAAGGAGAAGTCGTCGAGCCTTTTGAAAACTCTCCAATCGTTTCGCAGCTCTGTTTATGCTGAAACTTTTTCTCGAGGACGAAGACGTTGTGCGTGATATCGTTCCCCGGGCAGCGGATTAAGCGTCTTAAGCAGAAGTGGTCAGAAGAAGCGGTACCCACACCAAAAGAATTGCTACAGCGAGTGTGATTATAAAAATAATTCTTTGGAAGATCATACGAGAAGCACCCGGCGAGGATAAGTAATAAGCAGCTGAAAGAGCACTAGACACCGACCTGCATATGAGTTTTAGTTCCCGAAGTGTTTGAACTCTACCAAGAACAAGCTTGAAAGCTGAAGTTGCGATTGCATACCTCGTCCCTAGAATATATATGGGTTCCCGTCCGCCCGCATTACATATATTCAACTTTGGTGGACTTCCTGCAAAGAAGCCTGCCTTTGGGAGTGGGCATGGTGCCAGACGACTGAGAACACTTTGAACCGTGAAGCGCCTGTTTGAAAGAGAGCGGTAGAAATTTTTGCTGTATAAAAAAAAGAAAGTGAGTCGGGTGACATATCAATTTTGAGATAAAAAACACCTACCTTATTGACTATGGAGTGAATCTGATCCTTCGCAACTGTGACGATCAAAGGTCTACACGATGGTCCTCAAAAACATCCTTGCACGGAATTAAAACCGGAGCGAAGGTCAACGTTGTGCCAAGTTTCTTCCTTCGCGATGCTTCATAGAATCGGTCCATTGATGGCACATATATCTACCAGCGGAAATTTGATTTTGTCGTCGAGCCGATTTGTTTGTTTCTTGAAACGATCGCGGAGACGTTGACGGCCAGCCTCGGTCCATCATAGTTAAGTTGGTATGAACAAATACCAAAGTCTCTCTTCCCGCATCAAGTTACAGTCCTGCAAGTCGCAACTTCCTCTTTCGAGAAAGAGCGGTCTCGAGTGAGTTATACGCTGTATGACAAAGTAACGATGTCAGCAAGTGTTTGAGAACCGAGATTATACCTTTCGGCTTGACGCCTGGAGATTCCGCCAACGAAGCTCACTTGCATGCCGATACGTGTCGCAGCGGTTTACCATGAGAGAGAGAGAGAGAGAGAGAGAGAGAGTGCGCAGCAGGAAACCAAGAAACGCTCGGATGCGGGGGCTCCAGTTGATCAGGATGCCTCCAGGGAAGAACTGAAGAAAAGGAGCGAACAAGGTGAGACGGTGATCAAGGGAGGAACCGGTGGCAAGTCGCTGGAAGCTCAGGAAAATCTCGCCAAAGGCCGCAGTAAAGGTGGGCAGTCCGGTCAAACATGAAGAACTTGGTGAAAAAACTTATTTAGCATGTGTTGTTTTTGTTGTAGTTTGTTTTAAATCTGTGAAAAAGAGAGAAGCACCTTTTAGTTTCGAAGAAGTTTGAACCGTATGATCTACTTTTTACTTGATCTCAAACTTTTGGCTTCCGATGCAACGGCACGAGATAAAACAAACTATGGCAGATGGGCCGCTTACGTCTCCAAAGTGGCCCCAGTTGCTAAAGTTTCTTTTATTAAAAGAAAACTGCTTGTACCTTGTCGAAAGCGGAGGCCAGCGCTGATTGATTGCCTGAAGTCCTTTAACGCATCACAAGCACCACTACACCGTGGGTTGCCAGCTTTTGAAGGCTAGAACGAATCTTTCCTGCAAAAAACTTCAGTAGATAAGGTCCAAGTATCCCACCTCGGCATCTAGGATCCTCCAAGCGCTTGCTCTTCTGATGTATCAGGTATGAATGCTGATTTCCTGATCCATCAAGAGTTAGAAACACCAATCCCAATAATGGTGGAGGAAGAGCTGACCTGGAAAGAGCCCGTCCAAAGAGTGCAAGCACTTGCAGAGAAAGGTCTCAAGGAAGTTCCTCCATCTTATATACGGCCTGTATCAGAGCGCCCCTGTCTGGATAAGCAGATCCATCTCGGTGACGATGGTTCAATCCCGGTTATTGATTTCTCTGGCCTGGAAGATCACCGAAGAGAGGATACCATGGATCAAATCTCGCGTGCCTGTGAGGAATGGGGGTTCTTCCAGCTGATCAACCACTGTGTTCCTGTACCCGTCATGGACCGCACCGTTGCAGCAGCCAGAGAGTTCTTTGATCTTCCACTCGAGGAGAAACAGGTATATGCTAACAAGCCTTGGTCGTTGGTAGGCTACGGGAGCCGCATAGGAGTGACGGAGGGAGCCATCCTCGACTGGGGCGATTACTTTCTCCATTATCTCTGGCCTCTGGACAAGCGAGACGTTGATCAGGAATGGCCTAGAAAACCAGCTTCATACGTGTAAGTTCTTCACCCTGTTCATGCTTTGGAAGGAAAAACAGAATGACACTTACCAGCATTTGAGTCCAAAGTTGTCCATTTGGTTGCCATCTCTCAGCACCAAAAATTCAATCATCCTTTCTCGATTTCCAGCTATAAACATCAGGCGCCTCATAGCTTTAGCCGCAAAGATTGCCGGAAATTTCACAAAAAAACTTAGCAAAACACTTACTTGGATCTTTCCTTTTGCTGCGCAGGGAGACCCTGGACGAATACACTCACGCGCTCCACAATCTTTGTAGCCGCTTGCTGGAAGCTCTATCCGAGAGCCTAGGGCTGCGAAAGGATTACATTGGCGAGATCTTTGGATGGCCGGACACAAACCTGGTGCTGCGCATCAACTACTACCCGCCGTGCCCGTCGCCAGATCTCACGCTTGGCGTCGGCTCTCACTCCGACGGCGGTGTTATCACATTCCTCCTCCACGACAACGTCCCCGGCCTCCAGGTTATCTTAAACCCTAAACTTGAGTTTTGGCGCCAAAAGCAGTCTTTTAAAAATTTGGGGGAATTTTTCTCTTCCAGGTTCGCAAGGGAGATCGCTGGCTGCTGCTGGAGCCGATCCCCAACGCGATCGTGGTGAACATCGCGGACCAATTGCAGGTGTGATCCACGATTCCGAGCGAAATTTTGAGGGATTTCAGCAACATTTTCCTGCCAGATTCTCAGCAATGGGCGATTCAAGAGCGTGGAGCATCGCGTAGCGGTGAACAAGGACACCGTGCGAATGTCCCTGGCGACGTTTTGCAATCCAGATGTGGACACGATCATCGCTCCAGCCGAGGATCTCGTGAACGATGATAATCCCGCGCTCTACAGAGCCATGACCTATGGCGAATTTTTGGAGTCGCTCTGTAGGGATGGATTGAAAGGGAAGGACTATGTGGAGTCCTTCCGGAGATGAGAGTTTTGTGTTGATGCGGGGGTTCGAAACTCTATATCATCATATTTTCATTGCGAACGGAGGTTCGAATCTCACCCTGGACACTAAGAATCTAATTTTGTTTTGGCTGGATATTCCATTTTATTTTGCTCGAGAGGAGGAAGGAGAAAGGGTTCGCCCGGAGCGGCGATGGATCCTTTCGAGAGTTTCTTCCGCCAGGCGGATGTGGACGGCGACGGCAGGATCAGCGGGATGGAAGCTATCGCCTTCTTCCGGGGCGCCGGATTGCCGCAGATCGTCTTGGCCAAGGTATGAATTCGCGCTCGCTTTGTCCCGGATTTAGGTCTTTGGAAATGCCTGCATTCTCCGGACGAGCTGGACGATGGTTTTCCCGGGCGGCTGAATCGATTTCTTTGCGCATTCTTGACAGATCTGGCAGCTCGCGGATCAAGCGCAGCGAGGGTTCCTCACAAAGCCAGAGTTCTTCCACGCGTTGAAGCTCGTCACTGTCGCGCAGTCTGGGAGAGAATTAACTCCGGAGATCTCCAGAGCCGCATTGCTAGGGCCAGCGTCTACGCAAATCCCACCTCCAAGAATAATTCCAGCTCAAGCGCCAGTGTCCTCGCCTTCGCCACCGCCAGCGTATAGACCACCTTTGCAAAACCAACGAGTAAGTTATACTGGGCAGCAGCCGGGCCTCACTCCAGAGCCTCCGGCTCGCCCGTTCCAGCCACCACCTCCAGTTCCAGTTGCTACCACCAGCGCCGCCACTCCAGATGCTTTCGGTGCTCCATCGTTCCAGGCATTCCCGGAAGCTCCAAAGCCTCTGGTCAGCCAAGTTTCCACGTCCTCGATTCTTGGAGCAACCCCGAGCTCGAGCACGACTCCAACTAGTGTGTCTAGTGCTCCAGCGGCTTCTTCGACTCCAACGTCCTTTGCTGCCGATGGCTTTGGAGGTGAATCATTCAAAGCTTCTCCATCCCCGCGGCCTGTGCTTCCCGATGACTTTGGAGGTGATTCATTTTCTGCGGATTCTAGCCAGGCAATCGTTCCAGTCGCAACACTTGGTCCTAGCCCGACCGTTGGTCTCGGTACGGCCATTGTTCCAGTTACAGCGCTAGCTCCGACGCCTCCTCCGGTGCAGACTTTCGGCCAACCAGTTGACGTTCCGAGTTCTCCTGCAAGGCCTTATGCGCCACCGGTTCAAAATATCCATCATACCTGGCCGAAGATGACACAAGGAGATATCGAACGCTACAGCCAAGCATTTGCCAGTGTGGACTCTGATAGAGATGGGAAAGTTCGTGGGGATCAAGCGCGGGACGTGTTCTTGAGCTGGGGTCTTCCCAGAGGTAAGTTTGTGTTCTTATTTCAATGGAAGTGAAGTGCTTGTTTTTACAGACGTGCTGAAGAAGATATGGGATTTGTCCGACCAAGATGGAGATAGTATGCTGTCTTTAAGAGAATTCTGTATTGCATTATATTTTATGGAGCGCTATCGAGAAGGTCGACCTCCGCCTTCAGTCTTGCCTGCAGGCTTCTTACCCGAAAATCCATCTCCTTCTCCACAGCAGTTTGTCCCTACTCCTGTTAGACCTCCTGTTCTTCCTCCACAACGATCTTTGGGACCTGGTGTTCCAGTCATTCCTCAGGAGACAGGTGCGTAGTTCATTGATTTTTATTCTAATCTATCTTTCTAAGTTACATCGTTGCAGGTCCAGTGACGCTACCAGGAAGCCAAGGTGCAGGTCTGATGCCTTTGCAAGCAACTGCAGATTCTGCTCCACCTGCGCAAACTATTCAATATAAGTCTAGAGCTCCTCCACTGGAACCGGAGCTTGTAACGCAGCTCAATAGGGACGATCAGGGGAATTTGAAGTCAAAATATCAGGAGGCGGAAATTTTGGACAGAAAGGTATTGTTTCTTGTATCAACTTGTTTCTTTACATTTCTTTCCTTGTATATAGGTGTTCGATCTCGACAAAGACATAAAACACGCTACCGAAATGATCGATTTTTATCGAGCGAAATTGCAAGAAATAGTTGAGACTTTAAAGCTCTACTCGTAGTAAGACTTACGCGTGTTTTTTCATCTTCTAGATACTGTTCAAAACTAGAACTGATAATCACCTGCTGGAGATCACTGAGAGAGTAGCTTCCGACAAGCGTGAGGTTTGTAGGTGTGGCCGCACTTGTTTTTGCTCACTGATAGATAAAGTGCAGGTTGAGGCGTTGCGCAAAAAATATGATCAAAAGTTCCAGCAAGCTGGTGAATCCAACTCGCGGCTTTTAGCTGAAGAGGCTGCATTTCATGATATACAGGTTTAGCTTTCAAGTCTTACATTCTTTTTATACTAATCCCTTTTCACCAGAGAAGAAAAATGGAACTTTACACCGCCATAGCAAAGATCGACCAAAGCGCAAAGAAGGAGGGGCTTCAGGAGCGTGCAGAAGAAATATCTGGCGATTTGAATGAGCTAAAGACGTTGCTGAATCAACGAGCAAAGAAGCTTGGCTTGCGTGCGAGACCTTCCTCTGCTATGGAGCTGCCATTTGGTAAAATTTTATGCTAGTTATTTGGATTTTTAAGACTGGCTTTTCCAGGATGGCAGCCAGGTATTCAAGAAAACGCTGTGGATTGGGATGATTGGGACAAATTCGACGATGAAGGTTCGTGTTCTGCGTGAAGACATAAAGCGTTGAATAATTTGGTTTTATAGGCTTTTCTTATTTTCAACAAGTCGAAGAAACGAAGAAGCCTGCCGAAGAGAAGAAGGTGGCCGAAGAAAAGAAAGCTGCCGACAAGAAAGCGGAAGATAGTCCTTCAGAAAATGGTTCTACTGAAACTCTCAAGGAGAACCACGTGGAAGAGAAGAGTCCAGACGCTAACACACTCGAAGAGAAACCGGAAGAGAATGCTCCGGAAAAACCAGAGGAGAAACCAGTAGAACACGAGCAAGTTCCCCCTGAAAGGTAAACATTTTGGATCGTGGTAAGGAGAACTTAACATGTTTTCGTCCAGCAGAAAGAACTCGGTGCCGGACTGGTCGAGCGTGTTTGGCGACGAGCCCGCTTGGAACTTGAGCCAGGTAAATCTCCTTCGCGAAAACTTACAACAAGCATTCGAGCTTTGTTTTCTCCAGGACTTCGGGAAGAATGCTGCTGTGGACGGACAAGTATCCTCGTCGGGAGGTTTCATGGGTCTGAGATCCATCAAAACTTCCACCTCTGCTGCGACGAGCATAGCCGGCGATGCATCAGTCCCAGAGACGCCGCTCTTCAGCACTCTGTCACCTCCGACGCTGGACGATCAACGGAGCGTGAGAGGGGGCGATGAATCCGTCCCCGAGACACCGCTCTTCAAGTCCCCGGATCAACAGGGCAGCCGGAGTTCGTTCGCGAGATTCGACTCGTTCGGCCACCACGGCAGTTTTGACGATCCGGGCACCTCGTTCGATGGCACGAACCAGTGGAGCACATTTTAGGAAAGGTTTTTACCCGCCATTCATTCATGGAATACAGTGAGCTTTTTTGCGTTTAAAAAATTTGACTGTTACAAGTGGGCACGATGGAGGATTTTAGGGTTCTTCGAGACGATGGAGGATTCTCCTCCTCCTCCTCCTCCTCCTCATTCCCTTGTTGATTCTTCTTCTCTGGCGAAGGCGATGGGGGGCTTGGCGCTCAACCTCGCCAGCGTCGCGCGCGGGGAGCTCCAGGTGCGTGGAATGCCGGCGGCGAGGAATCGCGAGATTTTGCGAGAGATTTCTTAGGTTTGTCCTGGCAGGGCGCCGGCACCCACGCGGAGCTGATCGAGAAACTCAATCTCAAGGTGGGCACCGAGTACGACGACTACGCCGATTTCGCGTCGGGGCTGCTCGTGTTTGTGGAGCGGCTCAAGCAGCAGAACGAGTCGCTGTGCAGCAACCTCAAGGTCATCCAGGAGATCGACGACGAGGTCCGGCACCTGGAAGCCATCGTCTCCACGCTCGACGGCTACACTGCCACTCTCGAGACCAAAATTAAAAACGCTTACAACGCTTGAGAGTTACTTGTAGATCTATGATCTATATCACCTCCTATCTCCTCTTTTTTCCGGGCTAAAGGGGACTATAACATGTTTATCTATCTATGAAAATCTTGTGGGTAATTCTCATTCTTTCAAAAACGCAATATGGAACCTTGAGCACTGAAAATTTATTTGTTTGTTTGCAATTAAATTTGCGAGTAGATGAAATTCAGACATCTTTAATATTCCATTTTATTTCTAGATCCACTTTCACTAACTATAGCATTCCAAGAATGAAATCCACCCAATATATATATTCATTTATTCATATATTATTTACAAAGTTTTACAATGCCATAATACCCCACAAGGAGCATAAGACTGACAATCATATGTCATATAACCTCTTTTTGCTTTAGCAACCCAACAGTTTGCAGATAATACCTGATCCGCTTGGTTAGCCAAATCACGGACGACTCTGACACAAGAGACATAACAGCCCAGAAGCCGCCACATAATCCAACAGCTACACCGACCGCAAATGCTTTACCATCAACAAAATTGCCATTCTCATGTTCCTTGGACAGTGACGATGAATCTTCAGGTTCAACCGTGCATGCCTTGTTCAGAAGACTGCCACACAATCCTGGGTTTCCAGCAAAGGCTGAAATGTCATTGAATGTGCTGAATTGTGCTGATGTCGGGATCGGTCCAGAAAGGTTGTTGTTGGAGACATTGAAGTATGACAGGGATGTCAAACTAGTGAGCTGGGGAGGAATCTGACCGCTGAGCTGATTATCGTAGAGCTGGAGGAGTATGAGGCGAGTTGCATCCGCTAAAGTGGACGGAATGGGGCCGGACAGCATGTTGTCACACAGCCAAAGGTGTTGAAGGTTTTGCAGCTGTCCAAGCTCGGGTGGTATGGATCCGCTTAGCTTGTTCTCGCACAGGTCCAGCACCGTGGGGAAGAAATCATAAGAGTAGGAAAGTATCTTCGCTGCATCACCACCTGAAGGAGATAGATTGTTTTGAAGTTGCACACCGCTAAGGTCGGGATCAAATTGAGGTTTCATGGGAAACTTCAGATAATTGAGACTTCCCAGCTGTGGAGGAATGCTTCCAGTGAATCTGTTTCGGTACAGAATAAGGTGCCTGAGATTCGTGAAGTTTCCAAGCCAGGGAGGTATGGGACCTTCCATCCGATTTGTTGACACTGAGAGATACCTGAGCGAGGCCATGTTCTTCACTGCGTCTGGAAATGGACCGCTAAGCGAGTTGTAGCCAACATCCAGCATCTTCAGTGACGTGAGTCCACTGAAGCTTGGAGGCAGATTACCTGTGAGATTGTTTGCAGTGAGGGCAAGAATCCTGAGGTTGGACAGGTTGCCTATGCTGCTGGATATTTCACCACTGAGGACGTTCCTCATAAGAGCCATCTTGCGCAAGAGGGTGCAGTTGGAAATCTCGGGTGGGATAGAACCGCTGAGCTGATTAGATGCGAGAATCAAATGCTGAAGATTTGTGAGATAGCCAAGCTCAGGCGGTATAGAGCCACTCAAAGCGTTGCCTCCCAGATCAAGTTCCCGGAGTTGCACGAGATTCCAAAGGCCTGCAAAATGAACTTAACGATCAACATACGAGAGAAGCCATTGTGCAGAAAAGCCCCTAGACCTTGAGGAATGGAGCCTGTCAGATCGTTTTGCCCCAGATTAAGGTACTTGAGCGCCCGGATGGTCGAAATGCTTTGGGGTATGCTGCCAGACAAAGAATTATTGCGCAGATTGAGCACCTGAAGACGGGAGGAGGCATTGTACTGACAGCCATCAAAGGTGAGGTGTCCACTGAGATTGTTGTTGGAGAAATCTGCAAACTGAAGCAAAGGGAGTCTACACCAAACAGGCCACAACTTTCCGCTCAGACCGGCACCCGTCAGGTTCAACTTGAGCACAAGATCGCTCCGCTTGTTCCAGACAATTCCTCTCCAGGAACTTGGATGCCCTGAATCATTCCAGCTCGATAGTGTAGCTCGTGTTTGCTCATCCAGTGTATCCTTGAAACAGAGCAGCAATGACTTATCTCCAGATGCTTTTGAACAAACGTGCTCAGGTTTGCAGGATCGGGGCCACTGCAGTGCACTAAGCACCAGAACCAGCAACATCAAATGCGCCATTGCAAGAACGGTGGAGTCTATTCTGCTCAAGAAACCGAAACCAACTATATATAGTGAAGGAAGAATTGGACAAACACCTGAAGATTTAGGAACAGGCAAATTGGATGAATGGAAAATTTGGAATGGATTACAGAGAGCGTCACAGAGAAAGAAGTTTCCAAACAAAATACGTGTTCTTGAAAGGAAAATGAGTTCACACTGTCCCGCTAAAAGGAGGCGTGCCGAATTGTCCTAAGCACACCATCTCCAGGTTGCGACGGATCAGCTCAAGTCACCATCAACTCCAGCAGTGACTCTTGCTCGCTTTGCCGTCAACTACGGGTGCGCCTCTACTCAACGTTCACACGCACGACTTGCCCACCTTAACATCTGAAGATGCGGCAAAGTACCTCAAAGACATGTAGGAACGCAGGCCTAATTGCAGTCAGCCCTCAAGAGAGATGTAGTAAGTGTGAGGACAAACTTAGTGAAAAATTTAGTATGCTGCGGTCACTACCAGCAAAGGTTGGATCCGTTGCGAAAGAGGCGGGCGATGGTGCTCCTGACGCTCCTGAACCTTGGAGATCAACGATGAGGTCCGGCACTGGAAGCCATCTCTGAAAATCTTGGGTGGGTCTGGGATTCTTTCATCGATCTGTAAATTCATGGGCCAACAATCCGTTCGAGATTGACACGCACATCAGTCAGGAACTTAGGGCTCCTCAGAAGCCACTTAGAAGCAAGCACGTAGGCTCGATTTCTCCGCGTGGCGCGTCACGACGCGTTTCGTACGCATACCGTACGGCGGTCCCGAGCACTATATTGAGGGAGCTTTCGATAGGTTTCTTGTGAGAACTATGGGAGCCGGGAGATTGAGCGGCAGCCTGGAAGTGACGCTGGTCTCGGCCACGCTGCTACGATCCGAAGGTAAGATCGCATCGATCTCGGGAGTGGAAAGGTTTTGAGATCTTTTCTCTTGTTTTTGCCCCAGATTCGCTAGATACTTACGCGACTGTGCGATGTGGAACGCATCAGTCTACTACTCACACCGCCAAAGGTATGCTCGTTTTCTAGCTCCAGAAATTTTTTAGCTTTGAGGTTTCTATCCAGATCAGGGAGGTCTCCCTAGCTGGAACAAGGTTTTCAAGTTTAAACTCGATGATGAAAACGAAGCCGAGACTATTCTTGTGGAGGTTTTCGGTGTCAAGCCCGAGCTGGATGAGCTCATCGGTCTTGTCAGGTAAGAAAAAGTTTTTCCTTCTTGTGGTTTCCGACACTTGATTGAAAAACTGAAACGCAGGATACCGATCTCCAAGGCCGTTTCATCCGACAGGGAATTGCTCGCATTGACAAAGCCAGGAGGTGGCGAGTCTGGTCAGATCAAAGTTAACTTCAACTGGATTCCTTCCAAGGTAAGCAATTTTCCTTTCGTCCTTGATCGAGTTTTCATGCCAACTTTCGTGATCTCCACAGGATAGCGAGACCACCAAGGCTTTCCACCCCAGCGCTCCATATCCAGCAGGAATCGAGACAGCATTCTCCGACTTGAAACTCTCCAAGTCTCAAGAACAGCCTGGTGAAGCTCCATATCCGCCACCACCATCCTACGCTCCTCCCGCCTCCACAGTCGAGTCCCCGCCATACCCTCCAAGCTATCCTCCAGCATCCGGAAAGAAAGCTCCAGACACTTATCCTCCTTACAGCAGCGATCCAATCTATCCCCCGGAAGGGGGATCGATCTCACTCCATCCTCCACCGTACCACGCCAGTGACTATCCTCCGCCACCTCCAGTTCCAGCGTTTCCATCGCCAACTTACGCTCCACTCACGGAAGAAATAACGAGCCGAGGCCTGGGTGACAAGCAAGACAAAGGCAAGCACGGCTATCCTCCATCCGGCTATCCTCCGCAAGATCCTTACGGCTATCCTGGTGGCTATCCTCCCGCTCCCGGTGGCTATCCCCCGGCTCCAGGGGGTTACCCCCCGGCTCCTCACGGTGGCGGCGGCTATCCCCCGGCCGGGTATCCTCCGGCTCCTCCTCACGGTGGCGCCGCTGGATATCCTCCAGCCGGGTATCCATCGTCCTCGGACTCTCGCTTGGGAGGTAAGAAGTTTGCTGGTTTACCCAAACTTTCATGAAATTAACATTGTATGAACTCACAGGCCATGGAATAGCTGGAGCTATCGCTGGTGCCGCCGCGAATATGCTCGGCGGTGGAGCTCATGGAGCTCACGGCGGGTATGGCTATGGTCACACTCCCGGTTATGGTCACGCCCCTGGTTATGGTCACGCCCCCGGCTATGGACACGCCCCCGCCCCCTTTGGGTATGGACACGGCCACGGCCACGGTAAGCATGGTAAGCATGGTAAGCACGGTAAGCACGGGCACTACGGCGGTGGATACATGGTTGGCCATGGCGGTGGTCACTATGGTGGTCACCATGGTAAGAAGTTTGGCGGCAAGCACGGGATGTTTGGCAAGCACAAGGGCGGCAAGTACGGCAAATGGAAGTAAAAGTTGCTCGTAGCATTATGCTTAACTCTAATCGTTGTTATTCTACTTTAATAAAAATGCCATCGTGTAAATATATTATATTTTACCCCTTGCTCTCGCGCTGGATTGTGTTTCTACACGCTTGCCGAGGCGACTGCGAGAGAGCGAGCGCGTCCTCCTCGGCGCGCGCCGCGATCTGGGATCCACATTCGCGATCGGATGCCAATTCCGCTGGCCGGCCGCTCGTTGTAGGGTAAGATCTGAGCTGCGCGTCTAGGGTTTTAGATTCGGCAGAGAGGGAGAGCAAGGGGGAGATGGTCCAGCTGGGAGGAATGCGGCGCTGCCTCGCCGCTTGGATCCTGCTCGCGCTCGCCACTGCTGCGAGTGGCTCCCTGCATCGATCGATTCTCAGCGCCCGAGATCACACTTATGGCGAGAATGACAAGGTCCCTCTCTACGCGAACAAAGTCGGGCCATTCCACAATCCCAGGTAGGATTGGACGGATTTTGGGGATTTTCCTCTTAAGGATTTTTTTCTGTTGCTCGCAGTGAGACGTACCAGTATTTCGATCTGCCCTTCTGCGAGCCATCAAATCTCAAGCACAAGAGTGAAGATTTGGGTGAGGTTCTTGAGGGCGACCGAATGGTGACCACTCGGTATAACATCACTTTCAAGACTGACAAAGAGACGGAAGAGCTTTGCTCTTTCAAGCTCGAGCCGGAGACGAAACGCAAGTTCCGGAGTGCTATTGAGCAAGACTACTACTTCCAGGTTTGCTTTTTCCCCCTTCTGTTGACGTCTAGTACCATTCGCTCACTTTTTTTCTCTGGATTTGGCAGATGTTTTTCGATGATCTCCCCTTATGGGGCTTTGTTGGAAAGCTCCAGACCGACGAGAAAAAGGAGGAGCGCTACATGCTTTTCACGCATGTCCATTTCGAGATCGCATTTAATGACAATCGGGTGATCGAGGTCACTGTGTCAACCGATCCGGATCACGCCGTGGATATCACCGATGATGAGCCCACCGATGTGAAGTTCACTTACTCCGTGAAATGGAAGAAGACACCGATCACCTTCGACCGAAGGATGGAAAAGTATCAAAAGTATTCTTTTCTGCCGCAGCATTTGGAGATCCACTGGTTCTCGATTATCAACTCCTGTGTGACAGTGCTTCTATTGACGGGGTTTCTGGCAACGATTCTCATGCGCGTCCTGAAGAACGACTTTATCAAGTTTGGATCTTACCTCTTCACTTTGAGCTTTACTAACGCCTCTAGCTTTTCAGGTATACTAAAGAGGATGAGGAGGATCCAGAGGAAACCGGGTGGAAATATATCCATGGAGACGTTTTCCGGTTTCCAAACCATCCAAAGTAAGAACTTTTCAAGAGATAGTTCTCTTGTCTCATGTGTGTGGCTTGGCAGTATGTTTGCGGCTGTTATTGGAAGTGGAACGCAGCTTCTAGTTCTTGCGTTATGTATCTTTGGCTTGGCTCTGGTGGGAGTGTTCTATCCGTATAACAGAGGAGCGCTCAACACAGCATGCCTCGTAATTTATGCTCTGACAGCTGGTATTTCTGGGTACGTCTCTGCACACTTGTACCGTCAAATGGGAGGTGAAGCCTGGGTAAGAATAGTTTCCACTTGACTTCCAGGTGTTTGGTATCTCACTCAACTCTGGACTAAACCTTTCAGGTTCGAAATCTCCTGCTCACGGCATCACTTTTTTGCGGTCCTTTGTTTTTGGTATTTTGCTTCAACAACACCGTTGCTATATCATACCGGTCTACGGCTGCACTTCCGTTTGGAACTATCGTGATCATCTTCATTATCTGGGCGCTCGTCACGTTCCCCTTGACAGTAAGTATACTCGGGCGTCCTGCCTTGCGTTTATTCATCTTTTTGCTTTCCTTGTAAAGGTTCTTGGAGGAATTGCTGGCAAGAACAACAAGAATGAATTTTACGCACCTTGCAGGACCAAAAAGTTCCCGAGAGAGATTCCTGCGCTTCCGTGGTATCGGAAAACCATCCCTCAGGTGATTGAAACTTCTCTACTTGGTTCCAGTTAGTTGCTCACAACGCACGCTTTGCCGCAGATGTGCATGGCCGGTTTCCTTCCTTTCAGCGCCATCTATATCGAGCTGTACTATATTTTCGCCAGTGTCTGGGGGCACAAGATCTATACAATTTACAGCATTCTATTCATCGTCTTCATCATTCTGATCATCGTGACTGCGTTCATCACCATCGCTCTCACGTATTTCCAGCTCGCAATCGAAGATCACGAATGGTGGTGGAGGTGAGCTTTTTCTCGTTCTCTCTTTCTGATGGAAGAACTCAAATCAATCGCTCGCTCGCAGGTCGGTCTTTTGTGGTGGATCCACTGGCCTGTTTGTCTACGGCTACTGTTACTACTACTACTTTGCGAGATCGGACATGACCGGCCTGATGCAAACTTCCTTCTTCTTCGGCTACATGGCGTGCGTGTGCTATGGTTTCTTTTTGATGCTTGGCTCCGTGGGATACAGGGCCTCGCTCCTCTTCGTCCGCCACATCTACAGAGCGATCAAATGCGAATAAAGAAAACCAGAGAGGTGATTGCTCGGCTGGACTTGAGATCGTTCTTGCATTTTGTTAGAAAGAAAAACTTCTATGGTATCATAGAAAGCAAACTATAAAGGATATACTTCGAATCGACCAATCGGGAGCTAGCATTTATCATCCGGGATTTGCGAGAAGCTGTGATATCCATTGTGGGTATTTGCCGGGCGCTAGATTCGATCACCAACTCCTTTGGGTTGCCCATTTGGACTTTGTTGCGTGGATTGACGATGGAGCTCTTGCCTCTCCAGAGATTTGTGGAAGTCTTTGGGTGAGGTTCGCTGTGCTTTCGTCATTGGAGGGGGGCGAATATGCTTCCATATCCCTCGCAAAATCCTAAAGTCTGGAACCCTAACAGGGGGCAGAAGGGAAAAAAGGGAGCCGAGCAGTCGAGATTGCGGCTTAGGGCGGGGCGAGCTCGCTGCTGCGCACCAGGGTTTGGATCGGCCGCTCCGCGATCGAGGTAGAAATTCTAGAATGCGGTGAAGCTACGGGCTGGGCTGATTGCGCTGCTGAAATGCGCTCTGATTTGAAGCTGCTGATCGAAATGGACCGGGTGAAGGAGATTCTCACCCACCAGTACTCGTATCCTCACGAGCACTCGCGCCATGCGATGCTCGCGGTGCTGGCCGGCTGCCTCTTCTTCATTTCCACGGACAATTTCCACACGCTGATTCATCGGTTTGACAACAATATCAAGTGGTGGTCCATCTATGCGTTCCTGCTGGGATTCTTCTACTTCTTCTCATCGCCTTTTCTCGTCAGGACGATCGAGCCGAGCTACTCGAATTTCAATCGATGGTACTCTTTCTTGTTAGATTGAAAATTATGATTTTTCTTTCTTTTTGCTTTATCTCAGGTATGTTCTTTGGTTGCTTGTTGCGGCAGTATATCATCTTCCAAGCTTCCAATCCATGGGAGTTGACATTCGGATGAACTTATCCCTCTTCCTTACGTTATTTATGGCATCGGTGCTCATCCTCGTCCTCTTTCATATCAGCTATCTGGGATTGTGGTATCTGGGCCTTGTTGCTCGTCTTGCTGGAAATCGCCCGGAGATCCTCACAATTTTGCAGAACAGCACGGTTTGTTTCTCCTTTAGTTTCCATTTTAAAATTCCTTCTCACTTGTTTCTTCCGTCGTCTCTTCTTTTTGTAGGTGCTGAGCATTGCATGCTGCGTTTTCTACAGTCACTGTGGAAATCGTGGGCCTAAAGGTAAACCTTTGGGAAGGCAACTGTCGTCCACGGTGCTGTTCGAGAACTTATTACACTCGAATCTAACAAAATGGATAAACAACTGGCCTCCAATGCACGAAGTAAAAGAACAAGTGTGTCACAACTGGCTTGGTCCGGTTGGGTCGGCGGCCGACTATCCCGTTTTCTCAAAGTGGGTTGTTTATGGCGAGGTATGAAGCGCTAATTGCAATATGTCGGTGGGATATGATTAACAGCCTTGTGATTTCTAGATGGTTTGTCATGATGCTTGCGTTAAAACATCGGAAAACATTTCTCCCATATTTTCCTTATGGGCGACGTTTATCGGACTCTACATTGCGAACTATATCGTTGAACGCTCCACGGGGTGAGTGGAGACTTTCACCATGTAAACTGAGTAACAAAACCCTTTTGTGCAGGTGGGCCTTGACACATCCTCAGCCGTCCGGTGCACGACGACGAAAAATTGTTACGGCTCCAGAGTTTCTCGATATGGTTCCATGGTACTCAGGGTACAGTGAAAGAACCTTGAGGACGCTGATTTCCTGACGCTGGTTCTAACTTTTGCAGAACGTCAGCCGACCTGTTTAAAACAGCGTTTGATCTTGTGATATCTGTGACGCTGTTTCTTGGTCGATTCGATTTACGCACTATGCAGGTAACGTTCTTTTCTTAGTTTGTTCTTTTGTATCTAATATGCTTTGGCTCCAGGCTGCCATTAGTAAAGCACAACAAACTGAAAAGGACGGGTTCCTATATACACATTTTCATAAAAAAGAAGAAATGTGGTTCGATTTTATGGCTGATACTGGAGACGGGGGTAACTCTACATATACTGTAGCCCGTCTTCTCGCTCAACCATTTCTCAAAGTTAATGTTGGCGGCCGAGAAACTGTTCTCCAGCGTAGTAGTTTACTTCTTCTTGGAGGCGATCTTGCGTAAGCTTCAATATTGTTCTCATGCATCAAACAGATTGTTTTGCCTTCTATGTTTTGCAGCTATCCAAATCCTTCTCCAACGTCTTATGAGCAGCGTCTTTTTCGACCATTTGAATATGCAATGCAGCCCCCAAAGTTTTACAGGCCGGAGCATATCGCTGCTACGAAACCAGAGCTTCCTGATAATGTGGAGAAGCTTCAAGCTTATGTTGGTCCTCAGTGTTTTGCAATTCCAGGAAATCACGGTTGGTGCTTACTATTCAGTTCACTTGCAGTTCTTCTTATACATGTATTATCGTTTCAGATTGGTTTGATGGACTCGAAACATTTATGCGATACATATGTCACAAAAGCTGGCTTGGAGGCTGGTTACTGCCTCAAGAGAAGAGCTACTTTGCCTTGCAGCTGCCACACGGATGGTGGGTGTTCGGTCTGGACCAAGCTTTACATGGAGACATAGACTTATTCCAGTTTAAATATTTTTCCGAGATTGCCAAAGAGCAGGTACTTATCCTTGAATCAATTACCTAGGTGTGTTAAGGTGTTTCTAATGGCACAGGTGGGATCAAAGGACTCGGTGATTATTATTACTCATGAACCGACCTGGTTACTAGATTGGTACTGGGAAGGGTCAACAGGAAACAATGTTTCTCATCTAATCAAGGATCACCTGAAAGGCCGCTGTCGTCTACGCTTATCGGGTGATCTACATTTTTATATGCGTCACACGGCAGGCCCAGCAGCCGAGAATCCAGCCAGTGTGCAGCATTTGATAGTGAATGGCTGTGGCGGAGCTTTTCTTCACCCAACTCACGTCTTCACAAAGTTTTCTCAGTTTGAAGGCACAACGTACCAAAACAAAGCCTCGTACCCTTTGCCTGTAGACTCCAGAAAGGTATCCCGTTTTGGTGCTTTTCTTAATTTGTTTCTCCTTTCTGACTCGTGCTCTTTTCAGATTGCATTGGGAAACATTCTGAAGTTTCGAAAGAAAAACTGGAGATTTGATATCATTGGAGGAGTTTTGTATTTCGTCCTCGTTTTTTCCATGTTTCCTCAGGTACTCTGCAGTTCTAAATTCTGCCGGATTCGATTCATCAATTCTATTTCTCTTTTATTTCCTGTAGTGCGATCTGGATAAATTTTTTCAGAAAAACACATTCTTTGGACATACTCGGCAGTTCTTCAATACAGTTGGACAGGTAATATACTTTCTACTAGAGGATTCATATGTTTCGCTGGGGGGACTATTTGGGATGCTTATTCTAGCGGTGCTCTTTGTCCCTGGAAAAGTTTCTCGCAAGAAGAAATTTCTTATAGGATTCCTACACTGCTGTGTACATTTAATCGTTGCGATCGGCCTCCTGCTTCTGTTGGAGCTTGGGATCGAGACTTGCGTTCGACATGGTCTGCTGGGCAATGCAGGTACGTCGATTTCTTTTCTTTTCTTTTTATGTTTCCATTGTAATCTGAACACCGGTTTCTTTTGTTGGATTCGTAGGCTACCATACCTTGTACGAGTGGTATCGATCAGTTGAAAACGAGCATTTTCCTGACCCTACGGGTTTACGTGCTCGTATGGAGCGTTGGACTTTGGGCTTGTATCCCGCGTGCTTAAAGTATTTGATGTCAGCTTTTGATGTTCCAGAGGTAAGGAAAAACATTCCGTTTGCAGTGGCGGTTTCTGAACTGGATTGTGCAGGTGATGGCTGTGACAAGAAGTAATATTTGCAGGACAGGATTGGATTCTATGTCCCGAGGCTTCAAACTCATCTATTACTCCTCGGTCTTCCTCTACTTTTGGGTTTTCTCTACGCCGGTGGTATCGTTTATCTTTGGAAGCTACTTATATACTTGCATCAACTGGCTGAACTTACACTTTGACGAGGCGTTCTCGTCATTGCGCATTGCAAACTACAAATCCTTTCTGCGGTGCCATGTGACAAAGACCGGCGATTTGGAAGTCTATACTCTTGCAGTTGACAAGGTAAACAAGCTTCTTACTTTCTGGTGACAACGTCACCTTTCATGCAGGTTCCAAAGGAGTGGATGTTGGATCCACTCTGGGACGAGGAGCAATCAGTGTCTCCCTCTTACAGCAGGAAGTATCCGAGTCAGTGGATACCTCTTCCACCTTACAGGGATGCCAATTGCAACGTCCGGGTGATCGACCACTTTGTTGTAAGCAAGTAAAAGGGAAACAGACTTGTTTATAGAATGACAGGCTCGAGAATGGCCTAGGACACAAGTAAGCCCGAGTTGGGAAGCCACTGGATTGGGTTTAAAGATTTTTGAGCGAATACCAGCTTGAAAGCTTGTGCGATTTACCCGTCGTGGACTTTGCTTCGTTATTGCTAGATGCAAACAGCACTTGCGTTTGTCTTTAACACCATGGTCATTCCTACACTGTAATTTGCTTTATAGAAGCAAACCCTCTCAAACTCACCTAGTACATGACTTCACATTTCACAATTGTCATTGCTACTAGTCTTTGCTGATGAGTAACTGTCTGAAGTAGAACAACTTAGATTTTGGATCATCCAAAGTTTCCCATGAAACTTGTAATGCAATGGAACTCATGGAAAGCAGAGAAACTTTCTGAGCTGCAACACTGGGATACTTTCCGAGTTATAGTGGACCCTCAACTATTCAGATTTATATCTGTTGCTATAATTTTCATCTTCACGAGCTAGCGTCCAGTTTTTCAGCTTGCGCAAGAATACGTGGAAAGTAAAGTAATTGCCGTCCCTACCCTTCCATATTCTAATCAGGAGATTTGACACATCCAATAACAAGGTATACTTTGGTCTTCCCTGATAGGACTCTCAGTCTTGCGAGCGCAGCAGCATTTTGTTGGTCGACAAAAGCGATCAAAGCCATTGCGATCTTGGTATCTAGCATTGGAGAGCGCATTTAAATAGACGTTACTTTTCTTTTAGACAAGCAGCAAACATACGTTCGAGAGTGTTCATTAGATGGGACTGGGTATGATATTTGCGACTTCTCCACCTCTTCTTGGCTTGTGCCTGTACAAGCGAGCTCTGAGGTGGCTAGAGCTCATTAAACTTACCGGCTTGTCTATACTTCTCTTTTCTTTTTTTCTAGCGAACCACGCCTCAAGTCAATGGACTTGAGGGAAAGACCTGGGAAAAAAATTGAATGCGGAGAGGAAAAAAAAGGAAAAACCATTCACTTTGTCTCGTGCTTAAATCTTTCCCGCACAGCCATAGCCCGCATGACAGTTCTTATTAGATCTAGATTCGTGAGAGAGAAAGGACCACAAACATTGCAAAGTAGCAGTTTTTGCAGCTCCTTTATGGTTGACATGCGTAGGCCTGGCTGTACTGGCTAAAAAATATAAAGTCGAAGTAGTGTGAAAGTCTACCTCCTTTCAACTAGCTGGCGACTTTCTCAATGGAGCTGGAAAGAATGGATTCATCCTCCTTCTTTTCCTGTGTCAGTATCGCTCAAGACTGTTTTTCAGTAAGCTAGACCATGACTTGCAATAAAAAAACAACATGCTAAGATCTTGTTCTCCGCCACGAAGGCAGGGCAAAGCGCCACAGGCTGTGGCGGCCATGGCTGGGTTGTGCCATGGCAACCATCAAGACGCATTGCAATTCCAGGGCCAAGCCAAGGCATGGCACCACAGATATTAACACTTGCATCATGTGACACAATTGAGAATGAGGGGATTGCTCAAGGTTTGTGGCAGCTTTTCTTGTGCCTTTCGCAATTCTTGTGAATGGGGTAGCAGTTCTCGGACTGTCCAGAACGTCCTCACGCCACAGCGGCCATACCACGCCCTGGCAATGACTAGTCCCAAGCCCAGTCGACCTTTAAACACGATGGATAGTTCAAGTTCTGATTCTGGTTAGCATGTACAACTGTGTTTCTATGTCATAATCCCTTCATCATTTTGCTTTTCTTATTTCTCAACAGAGATACGGTAAATGAAGCAAGGAACACTTTGATATTATGTACATCAGAGAGTACCTTGTTGCTATGTGAGAAGGGAGAGTTTTGCTACTTCGTTGCATTCTAAAACTAGAATCAAGAGTCATATATATGCAGAAAAAAAAAATGTTGATTAGCTAAAACCTCCACTATACTTTTATGTTTCTTATAATTGAAAAATTTGGATTGGGATAACGAACTTTTATGTTTTGATTCTAGTACCTTGGTGACTAAATAAATTGTACATTTGATTTATATTAATAATTAACAATGTGAATTTACAAATTTTACCATAAACACTTAACATTGTTTGCTTACTTAAGTAAGAGTGCTAATTGTAATAGTTTTGTTGTTTAAAGGTTTTGTAATATTTGATTTCATGTAGAAATGATAGAAATGTTGTTAAAGTATTATCCATTGCATAGCTTATCAAATTTTATGGTTAGAATTTACTTATTAAATTTAAATATTTTTATTTTAAAAAAATAATTTATACATACAATCACATATTCATTGTCATAAAATTATAAATCAATTGACAAGTTATACAAAACTTCTGACAATAATAAGGGCAGCTTTAATATTCATAAAAAAATAACATTTGAAAAACTTTGAATTAGCACTTTAATAAATACATAAAAATACATAAAAGGCCAAAGTAGACAATCATTAGAAAATAAAACATAAAAATAAAACGATTTGATAAAGTAATAATATTTAAATATCTATCTTAATTATCTTATTATCTTAATAATTATCTTCTTAACTAAAGGAGCCTGTACGAGTCATTTAATTGGTCGCTGTTCGACTACGGTGCTGAGTTTGACTGCCTTGAGACCAGGATCCAGTGCCTGGATTCTGGTAGAAAGAGAAAAATGAAATATTTTCGCTTAGGCAATTCTAAACAAAAGCCTTTGGGTTCAACTTCTAGAAAAAAAATCCGAGTTGCGAGCTCCTCTAACGCAAAGAAGTCTGCATTTTGTGCATAATTTCGCATAACACCTATACACGCTCTTGGGGCGCTCCGAGTCCTTCCGCCCATGGAAAGAAGGTGGCCGATTCCATTCCATCCCATCAATAAGACGCCCGAACTTTTGCCATTTTTATAACGCGGGATTTTGGGCTGGAATCAGTTGAGAGAGTTGGAGCTTTTTTGAGCTGCTGACTTCTCCAAATTCTCGACTCTCGAGGCTGAGCATGGGTTGCATCACGCAGCTGGTCCCACAATTTTCTCCATCTTCTTCTTCGTCTTTCTCGTGCTCGATCCTCCGCCATTCTTCCAAGCCGGTTTCAGCTGGGAAGAGATCTTCTGCCAAGTTGATCACTGCAAACTCAGCCACGCGATCGCGATCCTCGTTGCTGCAAACGCGGAGACAACATAAACAACCCAGGAGGTGTCGCCTGAGAATGGAAGCGAGCGAACATCCAGCAGCAGCTACAGCAGCCTCCCACCAGGAAAAGCCGAGGAGTTCATCCAGCATCGGGAACGCAAAGCTTGTCATCAATGGAGATGGCGGCCAAGCTAGCCAAGAATCGCCGTCCTCGACCACGACGATCACTGCTAACATGATGAGTGCATTCCCGTCCTGGGTGCCGGAGGGATCATCGTCGCTGATTGGGAGCGAGAATATGGACAGGGAAGGGCTGGGGATCAAGCATTTCCTCAAGGACAAAAACATCCTCATCACCGGTGCTACTGGCTTCCTCGCCAAAGGTTCAAACTTCCTGAGCCACTTTTATAGATTTTTCTCAAAAAATTTTTGTTGTCATAGTTCTCGTGGAGAAGATTCTAAGAACACAACCCGACGTCGGCCATCTCTTCCTCCTCATCAACGCAAAGTCGAGTCAGAGTGCCAGCGAGAGACTCCGAAAAGAAGTATAGTACAAAAACTTTATTTGTGATGGACGCTCCATTGGTTTTGACATCGTAAATGCAGGTCCAATGCTCGAGGCTATTCCAAGTGCTCCAGGACAAGCACGGGGACGAGTACGAAGATTTCATCCAGGCCAAGCTTACTGCGGTCGCCGGGAATGTGGCCAAGGAGGACGTCGGGATTGACAAGGATGTTGCGCAAGCTCTGGCCAGCGAAATCGACGTCATAGTAAACTCGGCCGCGACCACCAATTTCATAGAAAGGTAGAGCGATTTTTTCCTATTTTTCTCTTCTCAAGAGGGGTTTTCTCTTCTCTCCAAGGTACGACACTGCTTTGGATATCAACACAAAAGGTCCCTTCCATCTCCTCGAGTTTGCCAAGAGGTGCCATCGCCTCAAGCTTTTTCTTCATGTATCCACAGGTAGGATAAACAGAAAAAGAAGAAAACAAGGATGATCTTTGTTTTCGCAGCCTATGTCAATGGGAAGCGCGTTGGGCGAGCTCTGGAGAAACCGTTTCGAATGGACGAGAGCATTGCGCGGGAGAGCTTGGGCAACGAGAGCGCCCCGCCGCTGAGCGTGGCCCAGGAGATCGAGTCCGTGTGCAAGCTGTCGTTGTTGGCTCCGGCCCACGACAAAGACGAGGTTGCCCAGCAAACCGCCTTCATGAAAGAGCTCGGGCTCAAGAGGTCGGTCCAATCATGGAACTCCCGACTCTTTTCTTACGTTTCTTTTGCGAAAACTTTCTAGTTTTGCAAGGCTGACTTGAGTTTTCTGTGCTGCTCACAGGGCAGCTTTGCATGGATGGCAAGACACTTACGTCTTCACAAAAGCCATGGGAGAAATGCTCGTCTGTGAGAACCGCCAAGACGTGCCAGTGGTGATAGTAAGGCCGACGGTGGTCGAGGGGACTTTCAACCAGCCCTTCTCGGGATGGATGGAAGGCATCCGGTAAGCCTTTCGCTTTTTCCATGTAGAATCCGTCACACTCTTCCTTCTTCAAGCATGATGGATCCCATACTGCTAACTTACGGCAAAGGTCAGACGTCGAGCTTCTACGTTGATCCAAACGGAGTTCTCGACGTGGTAAGTTCGTCCAAGTTCCTACTTTGCTTTGCTGGAAAAACTTGCGTGGAATTTGGCAAGGTTCCCGCGGACATGGTCGTCAACACGATCCTGGCGAGCATGGCCAAGCACGCAGGCAAGAAAGGCTGCCTCAACGTCTACCAGGTGGGATCATCCGTCGTGAACCCGCTAACGTTTGACAAGCTCGCAAAGTACACGTACGAGCACTTTCGGTCGCAGCCTTTCGTGGATCAGAAGGGGAACCCCGTCATGATCCCAAAGATGACCTTCATCACCAACAAATACACCTTGTTCCTCTACAACTACTTGCAGTTCAATCTCCCCGTTCTAGTAAGCCGAGCTCTAGACTCTTCGTTTTCCCATGGATTTTGACGCTGGTTTCTTCGTTTGCTGCCGCAGATCTCCAGATTGTTTCCATGGTTCCAACGGGAGGACACTCAAAGACGGCTGAAATACCTCTCGTATGCCTCGCAGAGAGTGAACCAGCTGATCGATACGTACGCGGCGTACACATTCTACAAAGGAAGGTGATCTTCGTCTTCTCTTTGCTCGTCTAGCTGAATCGCAGCTCGCAGATTCGACATCTCCAATCTGGAGAGGCTGTACAAGGAGCTATCGGCCGAGGAGCGCGACGAGTTTGGGTTCGCGGTGTGGAGCATCGATTGGGACAAGTACATAAAAGACGTCCATCTCCCGGGCCTCAGGAAGTACACGCTCGATGGAAACACCGCGTTTCGTCTATGATCCATCTCCTCTCAATGCTGAATAAAGGATGATTCTTTTGTCCAAATTTTCATTGTGTTCTAGATTAGGGTTTAAGGTTTATGCGCAGCGTGTTCTAGATTAGGGTTTAGGGTTTATGCGCAGCGATGCGGGAGATTGCGACTCTACAGATTGGCGCTTACGCGAATTTCGTTGGCGCGCATTTCTGGAACTTCCAGGTTCGTGATCGGCTTGCATCGATCTGGGTTCTCGAGAGCTAGCCCTAGGCCGAGCGATGACCTCGGTAGCAAACAGAGGCAGCGTGGTATTCCGCGAGAGAGGTTTCAACGCGGCGCACGATTTCGTGTGATGGGCTTAGATCGAAGCGGCGGGCGAGTCTTGTTGGTGGAATGTGAAGTCACATTGCATTGACGACATGCCTCACATTTGCATCCATTCTTTAGCATTCTTCTTTCGCTTTGTTCTTTGTTTCCTTCTTAAGTCTTGTTTGTTTCTTAGGATGAATTGCTTGGCCTCGCGGCCGACCATGAAGCAGATCCCGTGTTCCAGCGATCGGGCCTGGACATGGACGTGCTCTACCGGACTGGCGAAACTCGTCAGGTAAATCTTTTCTAGGATTTTCGTCCTGTTGGTTTTCAACTTGATACTTTCGTTTATCTACCAGGGTGTCGCGACCTATACCCCGCGACTGGTAGCGATCGATCTACGAGGTAATCTCTCTCGTGCTAGACAATGTTGTGTTATTTCTCTATACAGTGTCTATGCAGGAAGCCTAGGAGCTGTGCGCTCGTCTGGGTCGCTTTATGATGAAGGGCAAGGGGTATTGCATGGAACGCAACTTCATACTTGGTATGAGCTTTGTTTTTTCGTGGACAGGGATGACATTGTTGTAATACAGGACTGGGCCTGTGTCGTTGCACAAAGAGGAACCGCCGGAAAAGAGTGAATTTTTGAAACGGTTGGAGGCAGAAGAAGCTGGCCAGCAGTCGAACGCAACAGACGAGACGATTGTGCAGGGGCTCGATGAAAGAGTTCAATCGTGGACGGACTACTCTAAAGTACAGTTACATCCTCGCAGTGTCTACGAGATCGAGGGTATTTGGAACACAGTGACGCCTTTCGACAGCTTTTGCCATGGGAAGGGGTTGTTTACGCAATCCTTTCGCCTTGAAGAGTTCCAAGAGCGCTTCCGGTTTTTCGTCGAAGAATGCGATCATTTGCAGGTGCTTTTTAGCTGCAAACGTTTCATGGATAATCACCACGGTCTTTTCAGGGTGTTCAAGCTCTTGTAGATGATTCTGGAGGCTTTTCGGGAGTTGCAAGTGACATATTGACAAACTTTGAAGACGAGTACGGGGGCATACCTTTCATGCTCTTCACGGTTCGGCCTCCCGAGGAGGAACCGCGTCCTGTCGTACGCTCGCTCCATGATGCTGTTTCGTTTGCGTCTTTATCATCGATTGGAGACATCGTCGTTCCTCTTGGTCTTCCTCAGCTATCTCGAAGTAAGTATCAGGGGATGCTTATTTCTTGCGCTTAACATTTTTTCTGTTCTTCAGGTGCGTTTGCGAGACACTTGACGATTGACGATGCAAAGGTTTTCCAAACAAGCGCTGTTTATGCGGGAGCTTTACATAATGCGACTCTTCCGTTCAGGATGCTGGCTTCCTCTACACAGGTTGGAGGCTGTGATATGGGAGTTCTAGTGAAGGGCCTCACGTACGCCACCAGGAACGTTGCTAATCTATCCGCTGCCTTGCCTTCAGGTATGTCATCGATTTTTAAGCAAGATTTGCGAGAACCTTTGGTTTTTTTTCTCTCCGTCCGTAGATGGCATTACAAGAGGCTTGGATTTGTCAGCTCTCACTCCGGAGGTTGCACTAGCTTCTTCACAGGACTACGCTGCAGAAAGCTATGTCATACAAGGTGCTCGCCTCGCAGGTATGACAAGCTTATAATCTAATAGATCTTTCTGATACGCCGAAAGCAGGATCCAAAGGACTTGCTACTGTTACCGATGTCATGAAGTCCATGAACTACGGGAAGCAGAAGTTTTCAAGTCACGTCGCTTGTTCGCCATGTCCCTTGCCGGTGCCCCTTCCTTTCCCTTCCATCTTTCGCTCTTCAGTCGGCCGATATGGTGATATTCTACTCGAAACTTCTCCATCGTCAGCTACGGGAAGGGGTGCCTTGGACGTTTTTAGCGTTCCAGTCGCTACGAGCTTGCGGACCGATAAGGGGATAGAACCATACTTGAGACGGCGACTGAGCGATATCGAGCAGCTGGGATTGAAGAGGCAGTCTCCTGTGCTGCAAGACTGGGATCTGGCAAGAGAAGACGTGGAGGAGTTGAGAGAAGTTCTTGCCAACACTCTTGCGAGGTATGCCGACGAGACTGAGTTTGATTCCTCGTAATTGGATAGTCTACAAGTAGTGAGTTGCAAAACTTTGAAAGAGCTTATCTTTTCTTCTCTCTTTTGTTCTTACGTTTGAGAGCTTTCTTCTTCCTCGGAATTTCTAGATCGGGTTTGCTAGCCTCTTCTCGTTGTCTTTTCCTCTGGATTTTCTTTGCTTCTTCGATCGGGACTTTGAACTTTTTGACAGGCTAGAAGAGTTCCAAAGTTCTCAGTGGGAGAGAGAAAAAAAAGAAAAAAACATACCTTGGCTCCTAGTGTCTCTGCTCTTTCCTGTTCCAGTTTCTTCTTCTGTTTCCAGTTGAGATGTGAATTCCCTGATGTGTAGCAAAACCCGTAAGAAAAGAATCGAGGAAACGATGGAAGCTCCTACCAACAATCCTCTCCACTCCCCGAAAGATGCTGCTCAGATCGAAATCTCGAAGGAAGAACTCCTCGTTTCCATCTTGCGTGGGAGGCCTCTTGGAAGAAGGGGCCTCCTTGAGCACATCCGTCGCTTTGGACGACTGCACGCAACCATTTAGAACTCGCGAGCAGCGCATTTCGACACAGATACCATGAAAAGCTTGCGATTCCTCCTGTGATCGTCGCGGCTGCCCCGGCGCCTCGCCGGATCGACGAATTCCACGACCTCCATATCGCCCAGAAATTAGGGTTTCCTAGGTTTAGGGTTTATCGCAGAAGGATGGGGAACAAGAAGGGCGCTGCGTGCGCGCACCCCAGGAAGCGATTCTACCGCGCTCGCGCCCACAGCAATCCTCTCAGCGACTCGCATTTTCCAGTTCCAGTGAGCCCCGCGCACTGCGACTGGTCGGAGCACTTCCCTGTTCTAGCCGCGGCGGGCGATGGATCTGCATCAGGGCAGCAGCAGCAGCAAGCTCCCAAGGTCCGATTTGCGGACGTGGGGTGTGGATTTGGGGGCCTGCTCGTCCGCCTCTCGGATCTCTACCCGGAGACGCTGATGATCGGGATGGAGCTCCGGGACAAAGTGACCGAGTACGTCAAGGAGAGGATCGCGGCGCTGCGCAAGAACAATCCCGGTCGCTACGGGAATATCTCGGTCATCCGGACCAACGCGATGAAGTTCCTGCCCAATTACTTCGACAAGGGGCAGCTGGAGAAGATGTTCTTCCTCTTCCCGGATCCACACTTCAAGGAGAAGAATCACCGCAGGAGGATCATCAGCCAGGGATTGCTGGCCGAGTACGCGTACGTGATGGCCGAGGGGGGGATCCTCTACACCGTCACGGACGTCCAGGAGCTCGGGGAGTGGATGAAATCCAACCTCGATGCGCATCCCCTGTTTGAGAGGATCAATCTGGAGGAGCAAAGTAGCGATCCGGTGGTGGAATTTCTAGTGGCGACGTCGGAGGAGGGCCAGAAGGTCGCGAGGAATCGAGGCGACACGTTCGTCGCTGTGTACCGGAGAGTTCCATCGCCGCCATAGCCGGAAGCATATTCCCCATTTGATGCTTCTTTCGTTTTGTTAAAGGATAAAAAGTGCTCCCGATTTCTAGGGTTCTAAGGGTTTAGGGTTTGCTAGTTTTCCTGGGCGGGAGATTATGCCGCAGCCAAAGAAGCAGGGATCGCCGGATGTGGCATCGTCTCCTCCCACCGGGGCTAGGGTGCGTGATCGCTGTGGCCGCGTTTTCTTTGTCTGATGGATTAAATTTTCCTTGGCAGTCGCCCGGTGCTGCTACGGAGCAATCGGCTCAGAGAAATGGCTCTTCCGAGGGGAGGAAAATCTCCTCCGAGGACATCCAACTGGTAAATTTCTCAAAGCTAGATCACGTATCGATCGAGAGTGTGGGTTTCCTTTTCTTTCGTCACAGGTCCAGAATCTTATAGAGCGGTGCTTGCTACTTTACATGAATCGAAAGGAGGTTGTACACACTCTCCACGCCCAAGCAAAAGTGGAACCTGGTTTCACGAGCCTTGGTAAGCTCAAAAGCCGTGCACAACGTGAGAGAAAAAAACTCCTCTTTTTTGTTTTTTGTTTTTTTCCTTTTTCTGTGTTCTTTCCCTCTTCACAGTCTGGATGAAACTAGAAGAACAAAATCCCGACTTCTTCAAAGCATACTACACTAGGTTGAAATTGAAGCTGCACATTGCGACTTTTAATCATTTGTTGGACCAACAGGCCGAGCTGAGGAGGAAACTGGGTCTGCTTCCTCAAGTTTATCCATCACAAGGTGGCTTTCCTCATATATCTGCGAACTCAGTCTAAAGTTTGTTCTTTCCTCTCCAGTTTCTCAGATGATACCAACGCAGCCATCACACTTAGGACACCCGGCCTCGCAAAACTTAGAACATTCGACACACAGGTGAGCAATGCCAGCTCCATCCTGATACTGCGGTTGCTAAACTCGAGCTTGAATGGAAGGGATTCATCGGCTATGGAGCTGGCTACTGCTCCTGGCGAGCTCAACTCTACGGCAGACGTTCTCTTCTCTTTTGGGACGTCGGCGGAGCTGCCAGGCATGGGACTCGACTCCAGCTTTGTGCACCAAGAGCCACAGCCCATGGAAAGCTTGCAAAGTGATGGAGATGGAATGAGCACCCGAGACTCTCTCTCGTCGCTCTCTCAGTTGCCACGGAACTTTAGCTTGTCAGACTTGACAGCCGACTTGGGACCGAACAGCCGGTTTCCCAGGAACTTCAGTCTATCGGATCTTACGGCTGATTTAGGAACGGGTAAGATTATCTTGTTCTCTTGAAACATAACTTTGGGGAGCTTTTACGTCGCAGATTTTGGAGCTTTAGGGAACTACACTTCACCATTTGTCTCGGACGAAGCTTATCTCCACTCTCCAAAGAGTGGGGGCTTCGGTAAGATTTTTTCGTGAGTGGTTTTTTATTTTTTTCCTCTAATTTTCTGTGACGACAGACGAAGAACCAATGCTGGAATTTGGAGATTGATTTTACTCTTGAATTGTACGAATGTAACATGTGTAGACCATATCATCCACCACAATTCCTGGTTTGTATAGAAAGGTTTGATTTTTTTTGTTCTCTAGAATATGCGTCTTCGCGCTCTCACTTGGATAGAGAAGAAATTTTAGGGCTTCTTTCGCCCCCGGAGAGACGAGAGACAAAAAAAATCCTCCCGCTCTTTTTTCCAACAATGTCGTTAGGGATTTTGTGGCGATGGAGGTGGTGAGTAGTTCCGAGAGCCCGACGTCGTCCGCGAGTACGTCCACAGCCGCGACGGCGTCTCTGCCGTCATCGTTGAAATCCAGGCGGCCGAAATGTGAGTAGTGGTGAAGTACAGAGATCACAATGTTTCTTTTGTTTTTTATTTTGTTCTTTCTTCTAGATTCTAGATTCACGCAGCAAGAGCTTCCAGCTTGCAAGCCCATGCTCACGACGGGATGGGTAAGAGCCCCTAGACTTAAATCTCGTCTTCTTTGGTGGAATTACAATCTGGTTCTTGTGTTTCTTCGTTTCTCCATTTCTCGAATTCCTGGCTGATTTTCTTCATTTTTTTTTTTTTCTTGTCTTACAGGTGATATCGATTTTCATGGCTGTTGGTGTACTGTTTATTCCACTTGGAGCCTGCGCTTTGAATTCGTCCAAGAAGGTGAGATATATAGCTCAGTCTCCTTAGAAAAAAAGAGTAGAAGAAAACTACCAGGTTGTGGAGATCGTCGATCAGTACGAGACTGTTTGCATCCCTTCTGCTGGAACAAAAGAAGCACGGGTCCAATACATCCAGGACATCTCCACCGCCAAAGCTTGCACTAGACAGCTCCTGGTAGGCAATTTTTTTCTTTGGATGAACACAAGCAGTAATTCACACCTCTTTTTCTTTTTTGGTTTCGTTTCAAGATCTTTCACTGCCACCGTTGTAGGTCACTAAGAACATGGCCCAGCCGATTTATGTCTACTACGAGCTTCACAACTTCTTCCAAAACCATCGGAGGTACTTGTCCTTGCCTGAGAATCCTAGCAGGACTCATTCTTCCCTGCAGATATGTAAAGAGCAGGAGTGATCAGCAGCTTTTATATGGAAATGCAAGCGAGAGCAGCATGGCCAACTGCGATCCACAGAGGCTCCTCGCTGGGAAGCCCATTGTGCCGTGCGGGCTCATCGCCTGGAGCCTGTTCAACGATACATACTCGTTCAAGCTCAACAGTGTGGCTCTCGCAATCAACAGGAAGGGCATCGCCTGGGACAGCGATCGCAAAGACAAGTTTGGTGGCAGTGTTTATCCTTCCAACTTTCCAAACAATTATCCCGCGGCTACAAACGGTAGCATCATTGGTGGAGCAAGCTTAGATCCCAATACTCCAGTAAGTAACAAACGTGAGATCTCTCCCTCTCATTCTCGTTTACATACATACTGATGCTAGATTTTTGTTTCTACTCCAGCTAAATGCGAATGAGGATCTCATTGTGTGGATGCGAACTGCAGCACTTCCGGTGTTTAGGAAGCTGTGGGGGAAGATTGAGCGCGATCTCTATGCCGGGGACTTGATCACCGTGGACATAAACAACGTCTACAATGTCTACAGCTTCCACGGTAAGAAGAAGCTGGTCTTGGCAACCACAAGCTGGCTGGGAGGCAAGAACCATTTTCTGGGAATCGCTTATCTCGTTGTTGGTGGCTTGAGCATTGCGATGGCGATGGTATTTGTAGGAATTCAGATAAAGTGTCCAAGGTATGATCTCGTGGTTTATTGCTTGTGGATGACTCGTTGTTTGGATTCCAGGCCTCTCGGTGATCCGAGCTACTTGTCATGGAACAAGAACAAGGGTCGCGACTTAAACACGAGTCCAGCCACTGGAGTGCACTTTGAGGTTTGCGAAACTTTCATGTTTTTAGAGGTCAAAGTTCTTTGTTCTTGATTTTCTTCCAGGAGCGGTCGCTTGCAACAGGAAATTGAGTGATTAAATCCTTTATTTGCTAGTTGGAGTAACGCAAATCTTTCTCAGTTGGAACCTTTTCGTGGTGGGGTTGCTCGCATGAGTGAGCTAGATTGCGACGAGCGGGAAATTTGAGGCTCGATCCTCTAGAGTGAGCAATTACCGCAGGTAGTTCCTTTTGCAAAGCCACTACCAGATCTATCAGCTGGTGGAAGTCCAGAAGGATGAATTATGCGACTTTCATGGGTCCAAATGTTGTGATGCGTAAAAGCAATTTCTTCTTCCTCATTTGTCTCCTCAGAAGTATGGGAGGGTTGAAATACTGTTGTGTTTGAATGATGGTTTTAGCACAAGGTACAATAAAGAGAAAAGTAGTTTATCCATGTTACTAATGTATAGAGTTTATATAGCTCAACATTACACCCACAAACAAACTCATTTTCAAACCACTCTTTTATCCATGTAATGTCTTGCTTGTAAAATCATACCACTTTATTGCATTTCATCCATAGTGCTTCTTCCTCCTCACTTGCTCCAAATGATTGTTATTATTTAAGACACTTTAGATGTTATTTATGTCATTGACAATAGTCAATATTTTAATACATATTCAACAGTCATATGATAAATTATAAAGTCCTATAGGCTTTAACATAATGAATATATATATTCTTAGATTATTTGTTGCAAAAACTTATCTTGAATCTCATTAAGTAACTTCTTGAATTAATAGATGGTAGTTGAGCCTAATTGAAACCCAATATATTAATAATCATTGCACACACTAAAAGGCATGAATAAAAACATAAAACATTATTACATGATACAATGAATAATACAAGTCAAACAATATTAAAAAGTCATTTTGTGAGATAATATTATTACTCATTGTTTAACATTGTTGCATTTTTACACCATATAACACTATTGTTGCATTGCTACACCACAGAACACCACCATAACACTAATATGTTGCTATATAATATTGTTGTTTCAAAGTTGTTACATTGCTGTATTGCATAGCACCACTATAGCATTATTGTGCCAACAAAATATTATTGTTTTGCCCTACACCACTGTATAACATTTAAAAGAAAAACCTTAAGAAATTTTTCTTTGGTGTGATTCAATGCATTATACTTGGAGAAGCAATTTAAATTTTTTACAACATGGCAGTACACATAGCAATGTTGTAGTATAGGTGACATATTTTTTAAAAATGATTTTTATCCCATATCCGGAGCACTCACAACAATATTTTTTATTATCAAACAAATCAATGTAGTTTATGTATATTTTAGTAGTTATGCTATTTCAAGTCAATTATTTCTTTCTAATTGAATCAAAAGAAAACCACAAGCAATTGATCAAGTTGTCAATATAAAACTCAATCATTCTTATGGATTTATGATGACGTGTAATGAGATAACATTGATGTAGAGTTAATCTATTTAATTTCTTTTACAACCATGCATAACAGCACAATTTTTTATATAAGTCATGACATGACTGATGTGTTTAAGCACCAACACATGTGGTTTTTTGGAGAGTATTGTCTTTTAGCTGTCAATACAATATCTATAAAAGTATTCTAGAGTCCAAGAAATAAGCAAAATAGTGCATATTGCTACATCATCAAATTAAACAATTTTATAGATAAATCAAGCTTCCTTTTTAACTCATCTATATGTTTTAGAGCTAAGTCAAAAATTAATTTTAAAAAAGGCTTAAGAAAAAGATACTTTTAGAGAGGAACACAAAAAAAAAAAAAACATATTAGTAGCTGAAATTATAAAAACTAAAAAACTAAAAAAAGTGAAGTAACAAGATGTAAAAGAAACCCCAAAATAAGAATCTATATAAGAAAAATCATTAAAAGTCATTTTCCTTTTTATTTAAATCCTAAAAAACTACTTTTCAAGCCATTTTCTTTGATTGCTAATAATTTATCATACTTCTATACAAGTTTATGCCTTTTTGAATAAAAGTTGCTAAATGTCAATCTTAATTAACATCAACAAAATTAGATTTAAGTTTCCTTTAGTTTCTTATAATCCACTAGGATTTCCTACAAATTCATACCCTTGTGAATAAAAGCTATTAGATTTCAATCTCAATTGACATCTCAACAATTTCAACAAAGTCAAATATGAATTTTCATTAGTTATTTACAATCCACCATGCTTATTTGCCCTGAAATTAAAATATAAACTCATGAATTCGAAAGGCCATCTAGTACCTCTCAAACCCAAAGATGCTTAACTCTATATATCCCAAAAATTTTAATTGATTAAAAAAAGAGTGAATTGTTGTTAATTTCTCTCTATATTTACCTTAATAGACATCACATATATGACCATCACCGTCATTTTGTTAATGGTGACGGTGATAAAATGACAATGGCACTATACATATAATCATCATCCATGTCAAATTATCCTAGATTATTCTAAAATTAGTGTTGACTTGTCATTGATTAATGTCATATCATTAGGGTTCATATGGGATGAACATGGCAATGATTGTGGTTTCTATAGTTGCTACAGCTGTTGCTATAGTTGATTAGTTGGTTGTTACTTATAGAAGATTTAGAAGGTGTTTCAGAAAAGATCTTGAGGACAAGAGGTTTGAAGTTACTTGTAAGCCACAAATTTTTCCTTTTCAATTTGCCAACTTACCTCGTCTATCCGACTAACACCGCCTTGGCCTTTGCTAAGTTCCTTCGCCAAGGTTCCTGCATATTATACCAGTTCCTACTTGGTCCTACTTGGTTTCAGTTACTCATTGCACGAGCAACAGAGCGTTAGCCATCTATCCATGGATTCCTAAATCTCTCCAAATCCCCCTCCCCAAGTTAAACTGGACTTAAAGTTCGGCTACACACCCCATAGGCATAAGCAGCCAAGCACATTAAGCCTCTAGGTTTCTAGCATCCCTTACTACAACAAGGCTTGATCATAGGACCCCCTAAATCCCAAGCCTTAGGTGCAACACTTGCTTCGAGATACCAGGGGGAAACACTGTGGCCTAATGGCCCGGTATGTCAAGACCCCTAACAAGATCAAGATTGGAAAATGCAAAAAGACAAAGAGAAAAGCTAGTGGAAACAAAGAAGAGGCCTTAGACTGGCGTTGATTCAGATTGTGGAGAAATGGAACAAGGCTAACCTATATATACTATAGGTTGATGAAGCTCCACCACTCTTGGATCGAGGACGGCCTAAATATAGCTGAGGTCGAGGAGGTGCCACATCATCATCAGGAATGTGGCTCGAGACTCAGGAATCGGGAAGTGTCTCGAGAGTCAGGAATAGGAAAGTGTCTCGAGAGTCAGGAATAGGGAAGTGTCTCGAGAGTCAGGAATGTGGTCTGCAGGTCAGGAATCCGGTGAGAGTCAGGAATGTGGCAAGAATTGGGGGATTCCTGACAGCACCCCCTCCTCAAGAACGAGTGGAATGAGGATGTGAACGAGAACGAAGAGGAGGATGAGATGAGCGGCGAGGGATGGGAGATGGAGAAAAAGAATGAGGACTGGGACGAGAAGGATAGCGGCGGTGGAAGTCCTGAACAAGGTCAGGAGAATGAAGCAGGTTGTCTGCAGTTTCCCAAGTGCGTTCCTCAGGTCCGTAACACTTCCAGTCCACCAGATAGTAGAGTTTAGACCGTGAAATCTTGGAATCAAGGATGTCCTAAACCTCGTACTCAGACCCATCCTCGAGCTGCACTGGTGGAGGCGGAGGAATGACCCGATTTGGAATAGGACTGGGAATATAAGGCTCAAGGAGAGAGGAGTGAAAAACGGGGTGAATTTGATATGAGGAGGGAAGTGCAAGGCGATAAGTGACAGGATTAATGATGGCAGTGATAGGGAAAGGACCAAGGCGTTTGAAATCGAGTTTTGGACAGGGCCTGGTGGTGGAGATATTTCGCCTGAGGAGCCAGACTTTATCCCCGATATTGTAAGGGGGACAATCCTGACGATGGACATTGGCAAATGTTTTATGAAATTCCTGAGCACGATGGAGGTGGAAGGAGATGGAGTTGTGGAGTTCCTGGAGGTTGGAGATAAATGCCTCAGAGCGGGGATTTGAACAAGAGGATTTAGATAGAGAAGGAAGTGAGAGATTGAATCGGGGATTTTGGCCAGAGTTCGCAAAGAAGGGGGAAACTCGAAGAGAGGAGTGAACAGAGTTGTTATAGGAGAACTCAGCAAGGCGAAGGATATCGAACCAGTTATCCTGATGATAGTTGATGAAGCACCTCAAGAATTGTTCCAACGTCTGAATCGTTCGCTCAGACTGCCCATCAGTTTGAGGATGATATGCCGAAGAGAGGTTGGCCTTCACTCCAAGCAGCTGCAAAAACTGTTGCCAGAAATGAGAGATGAACTGAGGCCCCCGATCCGAAACCACATCTGTAGGAATCCCATGAAGTCGGAAAATTTCCCTGAATACCAGTTTTGCCATGTCCTCGCCCGAAAACTCCTTGGTACATGGCAAGAAGTGCGCCATCTTTGTGAAGCGATCCACCACGACTAAAATGCTATTGAAGCCTCAAGAACTCGGAAGATAAATCAAGAAATCCATGGAGATGGATTCCCAAGGACCTGAAGGGACCGGAAGGGAACGAAGCAAACCTGAAGGAAGGTGGCGAGGTACCTTATTCCGGGCACAAGTGTCACAGGAGGTAACAAAAGCTTTGATGTAGTCGTCCATGTGAGGCCACCAAAAGTCCCGTGCAACTAGCTCATAGGTTTTCGCAATGCCGAAGTGACTAGCAGTCGGGCTATCGTGGCACGCCATCAGGACCAACCTTCGAGCATCACCTTCAGGAACGTAAAGCTGCTCCCCACGGTACAATAAGCCATCTAAGAACTCGAACTCGTCAAATCACCGGCAGTCGGGAGTCACTGGGTGTCTAGCCTGAAGATGGGGGAAAATGTCACTAGCGAGATCATCGGATTGAAGATCGTTTCTGATTGCATCCATCAAGGAGGAGTCCTGAGGGGCCAGGGAAATTGCCATAACTTGAAGCCGATCAGGACCGAGGATAACTTGATCCTGTTGATCGAAGGCAGGATTACCAGGCCTGAGACTGAGATAGGAGCGCCTTGAAAGAGCATCAGGAAGGCCTTGAAACTTTCCAGGTCTGTACTTGATAACAAAGTCAAACCGACTCAGGAATTGTGCCCACCTTGCTTGACGACGGCTTAAAACTCGGGAAGTGGCAAAGTACTCGAGATTTTTGTGATCCGTCCAGACTGTTGTTTGATGGCTCGCCCCCTCCAAGAAACGGCGCCACTCTCCAAAGGAATCCACGATGGCAAGGAGCTCCTTGTCGTGGATTTCGTAATTGATCTCCGCAGGCTGGAATTTCTG